GACTTTGAGTATATTACAAAATTAAAATGTATTAGTCCTGATTTGTCCAAAGCTCATAAAATACTGATAGTACTTAACGAGGCTTAATTGAACAGTCTTGGAAAAAAAAAAAGTTGATGGAGAACCTTATTTCTTCTAATCTGTATGAGCAAGGACCAACATTTTGTTGATTGGCGTTACCCAGTGTTGTTTTTTCCATTTTACACCTATTCTTTTAAACTGAAATTTATTGTATGAGCAGGGGGCTTCCATAGTGTTTTGTCGGTTTAAATGTCTGCAGGTTTTATTAATAATTGCCAGAAATCACAGTGTTTTGTTTGCAGTTATTATGGATCTGATTTTGGTGTGAATTTTTGGGGTTTTAAGTTCATATTTTTGTTGTATGTTTTGTTTGGGTTGATAACGAGGGATAGTTGTTGATTCTGTTTTCAAAATATGGTTGTAGGATCTCCATAGTTCCAAGCTATTGTATTGGATCCAATTTTCTACTCCATTTATCCAGTCCCACCGTCAAAAACTTTGTGATTGTCCTTGATCAAACCTGGAAGCGCCATTTATCTCAGATTTCCTGATGGTGCTTCTCCACTTTCCATCAATTTTGTCATACCAACCACCTTCTCCCCTTTAGTACTATTAGTACTCTTATTCTCTCCCACTTTGATAACGGATGTGTACTGGGAAACTTGAAGAGTACCTTAAACTTCTAATGTCTTGTACCCTTCATCTTTGGCTCTCTGAGGATGTCCCAAGTGTCTGATCTGTACCAACTTGAACTGATTGTACCCTTCCTACCTCTTTTCTCTATAAGGTGATATCTTCCCCCTTCCCTACATATATGATCTTGCTTTCAGATCCTGAGTACACTCAAGTCAAACTTGCTCCCGCCCTTGTGGCGTGTGTAACCATAAACACAACTACTGCGTTCAGTCGTTCGCCTTTCATGCCTCCAACTTATTGAATTACCTTTCTCATTCTCTCCACTGAGCCCCGTCTCTAACCTCTTGTCCGTACAACTTGACACTGAAGATTTATAATTACTTTAATTTCCATAATAGAGTATGTGTACTTTATGTGTACACATTTTTGTAAATGGGCATCTTTGTATAGCCTTGTCCAACTTGAATCTTAGTAAATGTGTTGTATTCATAATTAATTATTCAACGTGATTTTAAGCCTCAGAATAAAATTTATTTTTCAGTTCCATCTTTATTGCTTTTTAGGCAGTCAAATTCTACATTTCTTGTGTAAGGTTTTATCCTCACTTTGGGCCCAATATTTCACAAGAGGTTTCACATATATTTCAAAATCTGTATTTTACTATCATTTCTAATGCATATCTCTTTACATCCAGAATTACAATTTTTAGTTTAAAATTGATTTACATATTATGACCTGCTGTTCTTAAGCCATCTCGCTTGTAATATTTTGGCTCCCTTGAAAATCAGCTGCATTGAACATGTTAATGAGGGAAGTCGTTTTAAAAAGAAGTTAATTGTGAAAAGGTTGCATGGTCAGCATTGTCTTGTTTGAAAATGACATATTTGAATTTGTATAGTCCGTAAATTATTTGTTGGGAGATTTCTTGTTGAGGTATTTGAGTTGAGATTTGTTGAGGTGATGAACCTGCAGTCATTTTCTACTATCCTGGTCTGATAGACCAAACCAGCAAGGTTGGGCAGACTTGGATGATCTGAAATGAGCAAAACTATAAATTACTTGTTATTGAAATGGTTTAATTTTTGTTGATTGTAGAGGTATTTCAAACAAATCAAAACTTTTCATGTACAAGATGATGCTAAGTAGAACTTGTAGGATATTTGAGTTGCCCATGATTATCTTTGTACACAAATTTCTTTCTGAATATTTACTTACTGGTTTTTCTAGTAAAATAATGTTAAAGCATTTTTATTTGGAATGATCACTGTTTAAATTTACTTTACCAGTTCAGTAGTTTTTTTTTAGCAAACAAAATAATGAACAACTTTATAAACACTTTTTAAGTCTGACTAGACTGAATTATTTTATAATGATTTTGGCAAGTCTGTTATTCTTTTAAACAATTTAAATTCCTGCTATCTTTAAAAAAAAATTAATTTGAAACTTCATCATTTTTTTTGTCATTTTCCTAACAACTTAAACTAAGCATATGTTTTAAAATGTCTTAACATCTCTTGTACTTAACCATCTCTAGAATGTCTTAAGTAAGTAAGTGAATCATTTGTTTGATTTTCTTTTTAATCATCAGTTTTGGTAGTATTAAAAGTTTAATGGTTTTAAAGGGCATGGTAAGATATGTTTTGTTTACATTTAAAAAAAAATATTACTAATATATATAATAATAAGTCCTGACATTCTAAGCAGGTATATTACTCATTTACAATACTCAAGGGATATCTTTTGAGAAGAATTAGTTATAAAAACTATCATTTTATCCTTTTAATGACATTCAAAATGCCATTTTTTGTTTTGTAAATTCAGAAATTTCTCATTCTGTTAGGTTTGCTAGGCAACAACTTCATGTTTTAAAAGTTAGTGTGAGTGTACAAACATTTTTAATTTTTTCTTGGTGAATTCCCAGTTAGTAATATAAATAATTAAAGATTATGAGATTAATGAATTTATGATTATTGAAGGTGTATGAATAAAATATGTAGCATTAATAAATTAACCTTGTAATAATAACTGATTTAATAGTTATTTTCAACTTAGTACCTTTTTTTATGAGGTGCTACCATTTCTGATTGTTGATCTTCTCTTATAATATTTTATATAATTAATTTTTTAATAGTAAATAGATTAATAATTTTTAATAGTTCAAGTTGTCACTTTTTCATTAATGTGTGGTGATTAGTGACCGTTAATAGATATTTATTTAGAAATCATGAGATGCGGTCTGATGTGATGTAGGTTTCAGAAAAACATTTTCTTTATCGTACCAACGTTTCGATCTTTATTGAGAGTGAGTATTCGACACGACACGCAAGAATGGCACAATTACACAGAAGACAAACACTTTGAGCCCTGAAGATGATCTCAATAAAGATCGAAACGTTGGCACGATAAAGAAAATGTTTTTCTGAAACCTACATCACACCAGACCGCATCTTACGATTTCTAAATAAATTTTTCATTAATAACACAATTATGTGGTGTTTGGGTAAAGGGGTATAAGTAATTTTTTTAAATGGATTATGCTATTTTTAATGTTCTTTATGCATGGAAAAGGGTTACAGGTCAAACAGCCATGGTTAAAACATATTTTGAAAATTTGAACAATCAGTTGATTTAGATTTTTAGATTTTTCAATTCATTTTTGATAATTCAATCTTGTCCATCCTGTGTTTTGAACCAATGTTTATTTAATCATTATTGTTTATACATACTGAAAAGGGATTAGTTGAGGTGTTTTTATTTGTTAGTTTCGTTCAAGATATCCTATCACAAGATATTTTGCAAATATAAAATTATGCAAAAATAGTGCATTTTTGTCATTTTTTGGTTTTTAATTACTGCAAACCTTTGCTCAGACTGCTAGGAGAATTTGTGATGTGAATGATAATGAATCTTTATGAGAAAGTACCATCATAAGTGGTTTCCTTGGTTCAGAAGCAAAAATTTTAATTTGGAAGATGCAAAGCCCTGTGATATGAATGATAATGAATCTTTACGAAAAAGTACCATCGTTAGTGGTAGCCATGGTTCAGAAGCAGAAATTTTGATTTGGAAGATGCAAAGCCCATCAACTATTGATGATGACCATCAAGCTTTTGTCACAAATAACTCATACTATATGTCAATACTCAATGTCAAGATACATCACAGAGACACGTTACTTATCTTGTACAAGCCTTTCAACACATCCGAGTGCAACTTGATATTCCTTCCCTCGTAAAATATAATTTTTAAAACAACATTTTTAAAAATGATAACTGGGGATGAAAAGTTAGCCCTTTCATTATTTAGAGAGGAAGATTCTGGTAAAAATGACCCACCATGAACAACTCCTAAAACTGGATTATATCCCAAGAGAATTATGTGCATTTGGTGGGATTGAAAGGGATTTACTATGGGTTCTTCCAACTGAACCGTTACTTTTGGTATATACTGCACACAATTTGGAGTGATTAAAGTCAGCCATTGGCCAAAAACTGCCAACATTGGCTAATCGCAAGGTGATTGTTTTTCACTAGAATTAAGCTCGTCATCATGTGTCTTTGTAGACCCTCCAGAAATCGTTGGATCTTGACTGGAATGTTCTACTCCACCATATTAACTCGACATTGCTCCTTCAAACTTTTGTTTTTTCACAGCATTGCAAACCTGGATGATGATGAAAGGAGACTAGGAAGTGTGGTTTATTGTTCCCAAGCACTTCAGTCTTCTGGCTTATTGTATTTTCCTAGTAACTTAGTTCAGTCAAGTCGACTTGATCCTTCTCTTAAGATACATTAGCTCATTGACTGTCATTGGCTACAATTCCTTTCCCTGGGTTTTCTTTGTATCGAATATTGAAAAACTTTACTTAACTTGAGCACTGCAGAAAACACATCGAGATGTTCATCGTTCAAAAACTTGAGAAGTTCTGCGAGGACAGAATTACCAAATTGAATGGAAGATGGCAACAGATAGTTGAACAAAATTGTTCACATTTGCCTGAAATTTTCATTGAATTTACCATCAAAAAACGCTATGCGCTTATTTCAAGACCCAATATTTTCAAGACAGTACTTATACATATCTGTGTCACTGTATGAAGTAATTTATGCATGATCAGTTCACAAGTTTTGTTCAATTTAAATTCAGTTTTAAATCAGTTTTGTGTCAGTGACATGGGGCAACTCAGTACTTGAATGATCTCAAACTAATTATCGCTGAGTTCGATTGCTGATAATTGTTGAAGATAATAATTTTTACTTTTTTTTAAAAAATAAAGTTTTTATATTATATTTTATACCATGCTGTATATAACTAGTTAAAGTTGATTTTTCTTTCTGTTTCAGATGATATATGAAGAATGGGAATATTGACAATGATAATATCCCAATTAGAGAAACAGAGCAAAAAGCTAATCATAATTTGGACATTGTATTTTAGATTGTCTTTTGTTAGTTCTAATAATTTATGTCCAGATGTGTGTGAGTGTATTAGCCAAGATTCCTATTTACATGTAAAATGTTCAGGAGTAAACCTAGATGAAATTGTTCTTCCTTCAGAGACACAAGTCATCAAGTTGTTCAATGTTAGAACGAAAATATTAAGGATCGAACATTTTCCATATGATAATTCTCATTTGTCTTCTCTCACATGGACAAACAGTGATCTAGAAGAAATTAGCGATGAAGGTTTTGCTAATCTAAGTCAACTTAGGCAATTGGATTTGAGCCATAACAAAATATCTTTTATAAATAATGCTTTTCATCCTTTAAAAAATCTCCACGTTTTAAATTTATATGGCAATAAAATCAGTAGTTTATTAGGACAATTTGATGGCAATATAAATTTAGAAGAACTGATTCTTTCAAATAATAGAATAAATAATTTATCTATGGATGTGTTTCAAAACTTGAAGAAATTGAAACGCTTAGATTTGTCAAAAAATGAACTGTCAAATATAGCGGCTTTAGGCAGTTTAGATCCTATGCCTTTAGAATATTTGGATCTTAGTGAAAACTTAATAGCGTATCTTCCTTCAGATTTATTTTATCACTCGAATAAATTACAGAGTTTGAATTTAGCTGAGAATAGCTTAGAAGAACTCCCTGCACTGTGTTTTATGAATTGTAGAGAATTAAAACATCTGCGATTAGATAATAATAAGCTTATCACTCTGAAAAATGACCATATGTACGGTCTAGTTAATTTAACAACGTTTTCTATTAAAGACAATAGCCTAGAAAACATATCCGACGCTGCGTTTATTTATACAAAAAATTTACAAAGTTTAGATGTTTCTGGAAATAATATTACTGTTATTCCCATGTCAATTAAACAATTGCCATACCTCCGAGAATTCGTCATAGAACCGAGTGGCATTGAATATGATTGCGACTGTAGAAATTCATGGTATCTTCAGTGGGTAGAAGAAAGAAAAAATATAATAACCGCTACTTCAATTAATTGTATGAATAGGTGGTACGACTTGGAAACACAATCGAAAAAATGTGTTTATCAAGAATTAAGAAAATTTCAGCTTGTAGTGTTTGAGTTTGGTTTACCCGCCAATCTTGATTGTGATCAGCTTAGCAGTCTTTCAAATATTACATGGCACACACCTACAGGCCTTATTCTCAATCTAGTAAACACAGAAAATACTCTAAAAAATTTGACTACTTATGACGAACCGAAAATCAATGACAGAGTGAGAGTTTTAAGAAATGGATCGCTTCATCTAAAGGAAGTCTTGAGAGAAGATATCGGTCTTTACACCTGTGATTCCGCAGACGGCTACCAAAACAAGAAAACTCATCTCGTACTGCAGCTTGATCCTATTACGTTCTACAGAATTAAAATTTTAAGCATTTCGGCTGGGATACTGTCAGCAGCATCTTTCCTTGTATTAACTGTCATTATTCAGATGATAATAAAATGCTTCAAAAGGTAAGCGCTTATAAAATAGCTATTTCATGTAAAAGATATATAATTTTTGTATGTTACAGATGTGGATGCTGTACATCACCGGCCCCAGAAGATCAACCATCTGGAAAACAAATATTTCAAATTTTGGAAAGTATTGAGCAGTACAAGAGACAGCAACTCGAAAGGCTTAGGGAAAATTATACCCTCCAGGTGAGATAATTATTCATGAAAATAAATCTTTTGAATTCAATCGTTTGTTTTTGTTTAGTTTTTAATCATTTTATTTTTGTAGACTTATTGAATATTTATATTTAAAACCTACTAATAAAATTTTATTTTTAAATTTTTTTCTACAATTCATTAACAAAAAGCAAATTGAATAGAGACTTTAAAAACTAAAGTATCCATATATAAGACAATAGAAAAAGATTTTTAGATAACTATGTAACTATGTTTATCATAAAGTGGTTTTGCGTTAACACTTCAAAAAAAAATTCTTCCCTTATGAAAATTAATGCAGTAAAACTTCAATATAACACTCCCATTTAAAACAGTTTCCTAGATGTTGAACTGGCCACTTACTGGGTCTGTCTCTATTCACGGGATTTTTTATTTGAGTTATTGAAACGCGTTTCGGCATTGTGCCATCTTCAGTGAGGAATTTTTTTTTCCAGTTAGGTTTACTGAAATATTTTGGGTATCTGTGTTTAGATTAGGATGAGAGCAGTGTATGTAAAAATTTAATTGAATTGAGTGTAAAATTAAAATAAAACCAGGAAAGAAACAACACGTGGTCTTGTTAGTAAAAAAGAAAAAAAAAAATGCTCTACATCTAATGTATTTTATAAAAACAATTTTCTCTTTCCCCTACAAAACTTTTCCACAAATTCAATAACTTGTGCGTTAATCGAAGTTTTAAGTCTTGAACTACTGTTCGATGAACAAGATAGTATCAAAAGAGAGGGAAAATAAAGAAAAACAGATGAAACAATCGCCCTTAACAGAGCTGAAAATAATCGGTGTTTCAGACGCATATTTTTGTGTGCAGGATGGAAGTAAAAGATGAAACTTTCCAAAATATCAGCCAATTAGAAAATTTTATTAAAAAAAAAACTTGGTTTGTATTAAATAAAAAAAAAGGAAAGGCCATTGAAAAATGGCAAAAAGGAGGGAAAACTCATAAGGTGGGGTTGAGATAGGAAGTTGATGTCTGAGTGGATCGAGGTCACGATAGCTCAAGTGGTAGAGCAGCGGCGTATCTATTGGGTTGTCCGGAAAATAATGCAGGATTTTGGTATTAAACAAAAAAAAAGAAACTAGTTACTTTAAAGCAATGTTCTTTAATCAAAATAATTTCCCATACTCTCAATACATTTCTCCCAACGTGTTGGTAACTTATTAATTCCGTCTGAGTAGAATTCAGAATTTTTAGAATTGATAAAGTCAATAAATGCATTTTCCAGTTCCGTTTGATTTTTGAATATTATGTGTTGTAAGTAGTGGTCCAGGTGTCTAAAAAAATGGTAGTCAGTAGGCGAGAGGTCCGGAGAGTAGGGTGGGTGAGGCAAAGTTTCATAGCCAAGCTCCAATAATTTTTGTGACGTTACACGTGACACATGTGGTCGAGCGTTGTCATGCAACAAAATGGGCCCTTTCCGATTGACCAAAGAGGGCTTCATTACTGCCAATTTCTGATGCATGGTATTAATTTGGTTACAGTATGATTCAGCATTGATGGTTTCGCCAGGATTTAAGAAGCTGTAGTGTATTAAACCAAATGAAGCCCACCATACCGTAACCATTACCTTTTTTTGATGAGTTGGGGGCTTTGGAAAATGTATTGGAGCTTCTCCTTTGTCGAGCCACTGTCCAGAACGTCTAGTGTTATCGTAGAGAATCCACTTTTCGTCACATGTAACAATTCTGGCCAGAAATGGGTCATTTTTGTTTCGACAAAGAAGTGATGCACAAACATCAAAGCGCTGATTTTTTTGGCGATCGTTTAATGAGTGTGGAACCCAATTTTCGAGTTTTTTCACTTTTCCAATCGCCTTGAGGTGGTCAGCGACGGTCGTTTTACTGACTTTGAGTTGCTCTGCAAGTTCTTGAACAGTTGTTTTGGGGTTTTCTTCCACCACTGATCGCAGAACATCATCATTAAGAGAGGAAGGCCTTCCACGACCTTCTTCATCTTCAAGGCTGAAATCTCCCTCCCGAAATTTTTTAAACCACCTTTGCACAGTGCACTCATTAACACAACCCTCGCCCCAGACTTGGTTAATGTTTCTAGCCGTTTGGGCTCCGCTTCGGCCGAGTTTAAACTCGTAAAAGAAAATCGTACGAAATTCTCGCTTTGACATTATAAGGATGACTGAATTATTTCCAAGTAGCGGAATGCTACAGAGGTAAACAAACAATATCATTTGGAAGAGGATTAATAAGTGTTGACATTCATACAAATGAGTAATCCTGTAAACGTAAACAGAATATTTTATATAGATTTTTTTTAATGAAAACTTAAAATCCTGCATTATTTTCCGGACAACCCGATAGCTGAAGGTCGTGGGTTCGAATCCCGCTCGTGCCATTAACTTTTTTCATCTCAACTAAAAACCTTAATTAATTGTAATGTATTAATTGGTCAAGCGGACCACGAAATTAGTGAAGTTAAATAAAAAATTGAAGTGGCGTGGGATCGTGTGGCTGGTCAGGGAGGGGGGCGGCTGTGCCTCGGATGGCTATACAAGGGCAAAATTGAAGCCCTTGACCTGTAAGGGATTTGGAAGTGGTGGCACAGCGTCTGCATATCCCACTGAAGGTCTTGTTAGTAAAAAAAGAAAAAGAAAAAAAATGCTCTACGTCTTTCGATCACTGGGTGGTTTCCGCCTGTCTTGGGTTTACCATTCAGTGTGTGCCATGTTAAGGCTGAAAATGACTTAAGTGATTGAATGCCTTTATTTATTTAAATTTAAAAAAAATATGATTATGCATATGTCATTTGTATGTACATAAATATTTTTCTTTTAATTGTATGTACGTATGTCTTTATGTTTAAAATATTTTTAAATTTCTATCCATTTTATTTTTTCTCCACTATTGTTTTCAGTCCCTAATAGAGGGTTATAACGAAGTTTTAATGTATTATAAATAAGTATGATGCGAAGTCAAAAATCCCTTTAGGTGTTACTGAAATGAGAACATATGAATGAAATAGTTGAACAGTACTTATTTGTTTGCAGCCTGATCATCCCCAATCAACTGTACTCATTTGAGTACTGAGCATTTCGTCATGCAATCAAGACATACAAGAATCACGGTTTCAACCATAAATTGTTTTACTACTACTAATAGATACTAACATTAATTAACGCTTAGCAATTTTATTTAAAATAAATTAATGTTTATATTTTTAATTATATATATATTTTTTTAAATTGAACATTGCTTTTGTTTCATACCTATTTTGATTAGTAGTAATTTGTTTTAAGGTACATAAAATAAAAGAAAACTGTGCTCAACAAGTTGAATGGATTTGTGACAGTTACCAAAGTCAGGTTAAAAATTTACGAGATTTCAGAGACTATGGTACGAGTCACCTCTCATCAATGAAAGACCAGTATTATGACCAGGTAATATTTTATCATTTTGTTCAAACATTTTGCATTATTTCTAACATTAACCCTTCTAAATCAGGTGAAAAAAGTCAAAGAGTATTCAAATGGACAACTAAGTAAAGTTAGAGAAAATTATGTATTCCAGAGAAATAGAATAAGAAAATTCAGTTCTCACCAAGTCCTTAGATTTAGAGAATCTTACAAGTTTCAGCAGCAGACGTTGAATAAATTATTAGAAAACCTCCCCAGCCTATACTTGGAAAATTGTAGAAATGGTTCCTGTAGCAAGAGCGATTCAGCAGACCTTGGCAACCAAGATGACGCCGATCATGAAGTTTACATTAAAACAAAAATCGTCAACGTGGAAGCCGCACAAACTTTTGACGATTTGAATCCCGACTGTCAATCTGTCTACTACACCCCATCGGAATTATCAGAAAGTCCTCATACACCCGCTAGAGATAAGAACTTTAGAAAGCTATCGCTCTTCCCTCAATGTGATAGTTTTAAGCCAGAGGAGAGAATTTTAAATAAAAAAGTATATTCAGCAATACCAAGAGAAATTATTAGCGTCAATATAAAGCGCCATGATAGAAGATCTGCAGAAATAAATTCATTGAATAATAGTGGACATAGCAAGATGTCTTGTCATAGGGCTGTCAGCATGCCAGAAATCAAAAAACAGACAATAAACGAACACTGTTTCATACACAATGATGTCGCAAAACCGAATGAAACAGCTCTTTAATGTTATTCGTGTGACAGTTTCTCAGGTGTTTAAAAGCAATCTTGGATAGCCAACATGTGATGTTCCTACCATAAAATACATGTAAATAAAGTATGTATGAGATGTTCAACTTCAATGATTTTGCCTGAATTTCAATTTCTGTTTTCTTTCGACCGAATAATTAGACAAAATTCTTCACAGGGTGCACTATTATACAATGGCCAGAAATCAAGTCAATTAGAGAATTTATTAATACAAGTAAAGTGAACTGTAAATATTAAATGTTTTCACCTTATTTTTTTTGTCCAATGCTAAAAACAGGTTAGTATACAAGTATTATACTAAACACTGACAAAGCGAACATAATTTTTTTGTTGTAAAAAAGTCCAGGAATAATGAAAAATTGATAAATATTAATTTATATAATTTATAAATTATTATTCGCATATATTTAATTTTTTGATTATTTTATAATATTTCTCAGCAGTATATTATTATTTAATAAAACAAAAAATATCCATTTAAAAAAATCTCCCTTGAATATTTTAAACAAAACTACTCAATAAATAATAGAAATTTAAATATATGTGCATTGGTGAGAGGGCTAATTGATAAAATGTTTCATCTGTCCTTAATCTGTAAATTTAAATTTAAAAAACACATTATTTAATGAATAAAACTATTTACCTAATATTTATATTATTTATAATATTGATCTTATGTTTTATTTACATATAAAATGTTTAAAACGATTTGTCTGGTATCATTTCTATTAATGCACACTGCCCGTATATTTTCTTTAATCCAGTACTCTTTTTTTTAAACCTAATCAACCAAATTTATTGAAAAAGTGTCTATGTTTAAATTAAATTAATTTATTATGTCAATTTACAAATAGAAAATTTATTCATTAAAAGATAAAACCAATAAAACATTACATTACTACTCAATTGAAGGTTGTGCAGTCATACATATCATGTTATTTTTTTAATGTAATATTTCTATTTTTATTTATTATGTACTTAATATTTGAACATTTTGTTACAAACTGCTTGAATCATACATTTTTTATACATAGAAATGAACTGAAATTTAATTTATAATTTATTATTGTTATTATTTCATGGTTTGTGGATTTATAATCATTGCACTTTTTTTAATTGTTTTATTTTTCATTTAATTAATTTCTTACATATTTTTATATCTTGAAAACTGGATTGAAATATTATATTTATATTTATTACAATGTTTTTTTGTTTGTTTTTTACATGTAAATCATACAACCTTTCCACAATTTTAATTATAAATAATATTATTTTAACGTCAATAAATCTTAAAAATTGCTATTATTGTCTGGCAAATTTTTGTTATTGTTAATTTATACTATTTTTTGTTTTTAATTTTTTTTAAATATAATCTTTTTACAAATATAATGATAAAGTTTTTATTGTAAATAATAATAAAGAAAAAATTTAATGTGTTAAATTAAGCAAGAAATTATGATTATTACTGCTAATAGATTCAAAAGCAGATATTAAACTTTATTGCTGAGAATCACCAACTTCGTACTTCAGCAGGTCGAGTCAGGCATCGGTCTTGTCCTGTCACTTAAGCTCCATACACTATAGACGAGGTCATTTCAGCCTATGACTACATAGTTTTTCTATTCTCAATCTAAATTCTCCATTTACGTACTGCTGAAAGTGAGTCGATGTCGGAGCAATAACGTGGACTTGATGTTGCGCACTTTTAGCAAGAAGCAATTAACTTCTCATGATTTTATTGTAAGTGGATTTTTTTAATTTATTAACCGTTATCATTAGAAAGATCATTAGAAATAGTTTCAGTCTTTACAAAGTGAATGTAATCCTGAAAAGCTTTTTACACAGATATTTTTTTTTCTTACAAAATTTGTTTCAAAATATAATCTGAATACATATAAAAATAAAATTTATTTGAATTGAAACTAGTAATAAATAGGCTATAAATATAATAAATTTTCAAAATATTGTATGGATCAATGCATCAAAACATACCACTGGAAAAACAAAACTCAATTTATAGTCTAATGAAAAACAAACAAGTCAAGACAGAAATAGAAGAAAAGATAACACAATTTAATCAATACTCAATAACAGTCAACAACCTTACGAATGAACCCAAATTATATTTACATTTTTATTTTTATTACGAACACATTTACACCTATTCTACATGAGCGCTAAAAATGAGGTATTTGGAACACCCCTCAAAACGCGTTTTAACACAAACAGCACTGTGTGGTGATTAGTGACCGTTAATCGATAATTATTCAGAAATCGTGAGATGCGGTCTGGTGTGATGTAGGTCTCAGAAAAACATTTTCTTTATCGTGCCATCATTTCGATCTTTATTGAGATCATCTTCAGGGCCTGGGATTTACAAACATAACAAATACATTTAGAATGTGGAAAAGTGAATTTGATTGAATATAAAAAATATATTTTGCATTGAATAAATTCACTTTTCCACATCCTAAATGTATTTGTTATGTTTGTAAATCCCAGGCCCTGACGATGATCTCAATAAAGATCGAAACGTCGGCACGATAAAGAAAATGTTTTTCTGAAACCTACATCACACCAGACCGCATCTCATGATTTCTCAATAATTATTTAATTCTTATTATGATTTCAAAAAATTTATTACTGTAAAAATTTTAAATTTATAATTTGAATTTTCTTTGTGGTATAGTTGGCATATATGGCAATTATGTTATTCTTTAATTTCTGTTTTATCTTTATTTGAATTTATTGCATTTCATTTTATCTTTGTTTTCTCTCTTCATTATTTTGTTTTTTCTTGCATGTATTCGGTCATATACACCTCAGTCCTTCTGATTTCATTTTTAGCCATTTTGTTCACTGACATAACTCCTGCCACCTGTTACAAGCACTGCTTTTAGGTGACAGGCGAAAATGTGCAGATTGGTTAAATGACTTACTTTTACTTATGGTTTTATTATTTTTTCCTTAAATTTTTTTCTCTATTTATGTTTTTTTCTTAGTGTAGTACTGTACTTTTCACAAATAAATTAAAAAAAATGTGGAACCACAAAATGACACCATGGCATAAGACCCATGTTGACCCTTAGTAATGTACCGGACCAAGTCCCTGCACTCTAAGGAGATCAATCAGACTAACTGGCCCTCAACGACTAGAATGTTTAGTGAGACTTGACGATTCGGTAACCCAAAATGACACTATGGAATTAACCGATGTTGACCCTCAAAAGTGTAGTGGGCCATGACTTTGCAGGCCAAGGTGATCAAGCAAAGCGGTGTGTGTGAATATAATTTATTAGCGAGAATGGAGGGGGGTAGATGAGAGATATTATAATAGTTGGGTAATAAAACCGGACGTCGAGACTATTTACCTTTCTAAATTCCCTTGCAAATCACAACGTATTTTTAAAATAGCAAGTTTTTCGTTAAAAATAAATAAATAAAAACACATGCACATCAATTAGAAAATTCCAATTAGTAAGTAACGAACAAAATTGTAACAGAAAGTTCAGAATAATGTAATAATTTTTATTTATTTATTTTCTAACTGCATGATAATAGATCGTTTAAGTTTGGTATGAAACTAGAAACACCAGAAATCAGTTCGTTTTTTTCGGAAAAAGCTTATATGGTAACGTCTCGTGTTTTGCAATATCACACCAGACCGCATCTCACGATTTCTGAATAACAAACAGCACTTTTCAATGCATTTGTATAGAAAAAAAGATCTAATCCAGACGAGCATTACTAATGCGTAAAATGTCGGTATTAGCGTTTCTAATGCGGTAGAAGCAACGCTAATGCTCAGAACGTTGCTCAATCTACACAGACGTTCATCTTGGCGATTCAAATGCACCGTTAATCTCATATTTCTTGATTCATATATGTATGATTTTATTTATTTGTTCCAAAGGTACAAATAGGACTTTAAGCCCCCTGACATGTACATATTTTAGAAATAAATTGTTTTGTAAACTTAGTAAAATAATAATAGTAATTAATTGAAATAATATGGTCAATTATGACAGTTAAACATATATGGATTAATATAATAATAAGACATAATAAATTATATAGAACTGCAGTTGAGATGAGAAGTTGGTGTCCGAGTGGATCGAGGTCACGATAGCTCAAGTGATAGAGCAGCGGCGTATCAAGCCGAAGATCGTGGGTTCGAATCCCACTCGTGCCATTGACTTTTTTATCAACTAAAAACCTTAATTAATTATAATATATTAATTGGTCAAGCGGACCATGAAATTAGTGAATTTAATTATACAAAACATTTTATTTTATTTATTTATTTATTTTTTTTTACGAGGGTTCACAACAGCAAAGGTCATATAAACCCTCAGGGTGCCGGTGTTTTTGAAAAAAGCCCATTTTGTAAGTATGTCTGGTTTGAATGTAGGTCCGCTGGATTCGAACCCGGGACCTTTACCTTACAGTGATGAGCACCGTGTCAACGCCTAAACCGTTGCGGCCACTGACGCCCCTTATGCAAAATGATAGCGATAATAATATATTCTTTAAAATATTATTTATTGTATTTATAATAATGATGAAACCATATTTTGAAAAAAAAACAGGAAGAGAAAAAAGGTAAAAGGAGACGGAAAAAGAAACGAAAGAGGGAAAAAAAGGAGACGATTTGTGTTTTTTTCAAAACTCAGATACCATTGACCTGCAACAAACCAGCGAAGAATCAGAACGTACTTCTCGGGAAAGCAAATTCCATAGTCTTGACCTTGCAATTCTGAATGGTTGAATGAACATTGATTTTACCGACCTGGTGGTACTATAAAACACTTCCTTTTTTTTGTAATTGAAATAAATCCGTTATTAAATAGTGCTTTCAAGCCCAAGTAAAACTGAACTGCAGTCTCAAGAATGAGCAATTTATTTATTATTATTTTGTTATGGAAAATTTATTAACAGTAAATCAATAAGATATAAATACATATGTGTACAATTAATAAAAATAATAAAATACATATTCCACTATATAGTGTATAAACTGTCTGCCAGTGTAGGGTTGATTATTTAAGAAAAAAAGAAACGTATAAAATGAGTTAGAAAAAGAAAAATTACCTTAGAAGAAGAGTTCAAATAAACTGCTTAAAAATGAATAGGGATACTTGCAATTTATTATAATTATAAGTTGGATAAAATAAAATAGAAAATACAACCCAAAAACAAAATGTTAATTCTCATTTTTAATAACGGATTTACTTAAGAGTAGGAAACGTGAAGATTATTCATTTGGTAAACAAACACTTTTTCTCATCTTTTCTCCATTTTAATCTAGTTGTATTCTCTTTAACCATGGAAAGTCACCATCTTGAACCAGAAGTTCACAATATTATTGTAAGAATGAGTCAAGGAAGACACCGTCAAGTGGATATCGCAGAGGCAGTTGGCTTTTATCAGAGCGTGAACTCCCGGGCTTTTTGTTCATTCCAAATTTCATTCCAATCAAGTTTTGGAGGAGTGTTGAAGGTTTTGTATATAATTGGTGCGTTGGGATAAGGAATGTGTGGGAAAAGTTGATAGACGTTGAGGACATTATGTTTATGTATGTATTTATATATGTGATGTTCGACACCGAAAAATTCATTTGTAAGGTGAGTTGCATCCACCTATTTACACAATTAGTTTGATTATAGAAGTGAAGGCGAATTGTTGGACAGAAATCCAGAATTTTTTTCTCCCTAGTTGCTTCAACAATAAAATCCTCATAACGCATTATACTTGAAGAGGGTTCATTTTGCAAATAAATACACTGAAATGCACTGTCCATACACTCATGTAAAATGGTCTCGCGTTTCCCAGCATCCGTTTCAAACACTCCCTTTCAAAAACCATTAAAGGCAGGAGCCATTTAAAACGCCGCATTTTGAGCGCTCTTGTAGAACTGGCCTCAAGTAAAAAAAACAAAAAAAAAACAGACATTTATTATACAAAATATCCAACTTAAATCAGTGTAGATTACACTCAAGAGTAAATCCAATCCAATAAATGCACAAAGAAGATAATCCATTATATTTCGTGGTCCGATTGGCCAAATAACTTCTTTCAATTAATTTATCTTTATGTGAGGTATTGGTTGAATTGAAAAAGCTAATGTCACGAGCGGGATTCGAACCCAAATTCAAAAGGCGTGGTTGAGATGGGGAGTTGGCGTCCGAGTGGATCGAAGTCACGATAGCTCAAGTGGTAGAGCAGCGGCGTATTCAGCTGAAGGTTGTGGGTTCGAATCCCGCTCATGGCGTAGCTTTTTTATTTCAACCAACACCTTACACAAAGATTAATTAATTGAAAGAGGATAATAATGGAATAAACACAAAGAAATAATTATATCTTATTTGTACTTTCAACCAAAAATGGATTATAGAAGTGTTTTTCCCTGTGCTTAATTTCAGTGTATAAAATTAAAATGTATATTGACTATTCTTTTCTCTAGAATGAAACTTTCTGATGATAGCCTTAATCCATTTATTTACGCTTGGGCTATTTGCTGTGCTTGAGTAAATTTGGTCACGTCTTACCCTACTCAGCAGTAATCACCTAATCAGGTTGTAAGTCCAGTGATGCTTCAGTTGTCAGAGTTGATTACCTGAAAGAGAGCTGGATGGTAATTGTTTGTGAATCTTCTCACAGCCATTTTCCACCTGTTTGTTTTGTAGAGTCCGTCGTTTCTACATCAGTTTTGTACTAAGTCTGAAGCGTCTGTTGAGGAATTCTTGTCTTTTCAGTCACGTTGGTACGATTATGAATTATGAGAGCAAAGGATGTTAGTATCATAAGTTCAGGTTGTAAGGGAAGTTTCACAAAGGGTAGGAATAACTGCAATGTATATTGTAAAAAGGATGAGTCCTAAGATGATCCCTTGGGATATTCCTGCATCTGTGCGATTGCCGGCTGCCTCAATAGAATAAAAGAAAAATATTTTTAAAATATAGTTTTATTTACCTCTTTATTTAGAATCTGCTTTAGTACACAGTTAAAAAATTAGGAGCAAATTCAGGTACTTTCCCATTAATGGTAGTATCTGTAGGTTAATATTAGGATAAAAAATATTACAATTCATAAATTCTGAATTGCATTAAGCGAATATGGTTAATGGTACAAATTAGAATGATTAAACGATCAGTACCAAATAAGTTTTTAACAACATACCGAAGAACCATCGGCCATCCACGAAGCTTTGTATTTCTACAAAACACGAATAAAATCTAGATTTAGGTTAAATCTTTGGTACTGTTTAAAATATCAGACATTGGTCAGCACCAGTGAAAATAATAATATTATTGCATCTGGAAATAAATTTGATTTAATTAACGTTTTTGACTTCTTAATTTCATTACAGGAAATCTAATTTTAAAAAAGTCACAAAACATTATCTTTATTGATTTCCAAACTTAATGATTGTTTAAATTTAATCAATTTCCTTGGTTTTATGTAAATAAAACCAGTGTTTTTCTTCCATATTGCAAACATAAAATGTCATGTAACATAAACTAAACACTAATAAAACTAAACTACCAGCAACTTATAATATAAATAATCACAATGATTTGAAAGGTACAATAAAAACAGAATCACAACAAAGTAAATTAAAACAATTTTACTAGTTAACATTAAAACGTCTTTTGTTTGTATCGATTATCACTCATAAGTAGGAATGTTCGATAATATCGGACGATGCTGTAAATAATTCCCACTGCACAATAACAAGACGTGAGCATCAAAGGAAGAAACGGATACTTGTTAAGAGTTAACCATTTGTGTAGAAAATGTTCGTATAAAAATAGCGCCATTAAACCGTACATGTACACCGTTTCCACCGGCGATAATAAAGATAATGTAAATTTGGAAGACTCGGCTTGAAATAGGTCGAGCAAAATGGTGAAGACGAAGTAACTGTAGCTGACGAACATGAGGACTTTAATGAACGACTCGGTTGGAGTGAAAATAAGCGGCAGTAAAGCGTAGTGGCCGACGGTCGAAAGCATAATGAAAACTTCTGCTTCCTTTCTCCAAAGCACTGCTAATATACTGAAAAAAAAAAAAAATCTTTGTCTTTTCTACATTATTTCTTTCTTACTTTAATGAATAAGTAAAATCCCGACAAACCTTTGTGGTATAATAACCATCAAAATTGCTTTCTCGTGTACATGCCAACCAAATAAAAAAGCACAGCCAGAACAAAGTATTAAACTCCGAACAAAATGGAGAGGATTACCAGGGTTAGTCCACAACTTCCACAGACATGGCTAAAAAATAAAAATGAAATCACTTAGAATATACAAAGTAATAGGGTAAAGACTTTTTTTTTCTTCATCTTTTCAACTTACAATTATAGAGACAATTGTGCAGACCATTGTAATCCACGGAGTTATACTTGGTAACACAGAATGGTCATATTCTTGAACTAGACCTCCTGTCATTTTTCCATGAGATATTTCAATATTATATCCCAAAAATTTACCTGCAATAAAAAAACCTCGAAATAACATGCTAATTAAATTTTAAAACATGGAACAATTTTTTTTAATGGCAGGCTACCAAGTCATAACAGTTCCCAATGCACTGTGAGGGCCGATGGGAGTATTCTCACTTACTCATTTACATAAATGCACAATATACATATACAGAAACATATATATACACATATACATACACAATAATTATATATAATATTTACGATTTTCAGAGATGGGAAAACACCCGTTTCCTTACAAATCGGAACAGGGAACTCAACAACCCACTCTCACGCTCAAGGACTGCTTTTATGTCGGGTGCCATGCCTACTTGCTCCCTATAAGGAGCCAAGGCGTGGCACCTAACATAAAGACAGCCCTTGAGCACAAGAGTGGGTTGTTGGGCCCCCTGTTCTGATTTTTAAAGGACTCAGGGTTGTTTCCCAGTCTGTAAGTATTGTAAATATTATACATGATTACTGTGTACCTCTACATCTTGTATATATGTATATATTTGTTTGTGTATATAGCTGTTTGTGTGAATGAGTGAGAGGTATGAGGGGAGTAAGAGGGCCCCTTACATGTGCATACTCTAGAAATAAATTTAGTTTTACAAACACAGTAAAATAATAATACCAGTAATAATAAAACATATAATAAAATGAGCAAAACAATAATGACAGTAATATATTCTTTAAAATATTAAATATCGAAAATCGAATGTTGAAACCACATTAAGAAAGAAAAGCGCAAAGAGAAAAAAGGGTAAAAGGAAACAAGGAAAATAAAAAGAAGAAGGAAAAAAGAAGATTATTCATGTTGTTTTTAAAACGTCAGATACCATAAACTTGAAGCAAGCCAGTGAGGAAGCAGAACATACTTTCTAGGATAGGAAATTCTAGCCTTGCCCCATTTGTCCCCTTGTAAAGGATAAGGCTAAGATTTTAGAGGAGTGTTGAAGGTTTGGGATATGATTTATATACATACATATTTATTACAACAACAGAGGTCATATCAAACCTTGAAGTGCCGGTGTTTTTGAAAAAAAAAAAATTTGTAAATACGAGCAGGGTTCGCTCCAAAGCAGGTATCCGTGTGACAATCGTGTGATAGCCATGATCCGTTTCTTGCATGTCAAACTATCACTGTGTTGTGATCTTGATACACAAAAGCTCAGATGATTTTTTCATTCAAACAATTTTTTGTTCTTAGCATCACCAGATTGTGGTAGTTTGGTCTGGGGGCAAGACGACACAGCTTTTACCGCCTTGTCTGCATGTTCATTGTCCTCCAGCACGATGTTCCGAACTAACTACCACTATTTTAGGTGCTCTAACTCAGCATATCTCTAATAAGAGCACGACGAGAAGGTCATCTGAGAATCTCTCACAAATACTGAAATTGCGCTCAGGGAGTCAGTGCAGCAAAGATATCAAAGCCACCTTATTCTTAAATCACCTTCAATGCGTACCAAATCGCAGCTCTGCCATGTAATTACTTGTTAAACTTATATAGTCAATTTATTGAAAATATGTAATTTCTTTAATGTAACAAAGGTCATGGGTCATGGGATGACCGATTTTAATAAAACTTTTTTTTGGTCATACTAATTGTAAGTCAAAAATATTACACATGTGGTGCCTGAGCGTTTTTTTCCAATGAGCCTTTGGAGCCGAGAATTTTTCAATTCATTTATTTATACCTGTGCTAATTGCTGTGCTTAAGTAAATTTGATACCACCTTAAAAAACAAAACAAAAGAAAATTAACTCAAAAATATAAATGTAATTAGTCATTCCTATGTTAATCAATTTCACTTTTACTTGGCCAGTGATGCTTCAGTTGTCAGAGGATTATTTTGGAAGGGTGCGGGATGAAAGGTTTCTGACATGAGGGTTTGTGTAATAGGATAATTGTAAAATTTCTTGTAGCTGTTTTTCGCTACGTGAAGGACGTATTGGTCAAGGTTGTGAATGGTAAGATTGGATACATAAAAGGAAGAACTTAGAAGAAGAAGCAATTTTGGAAGATTCTGAATTGTAAGGATTGGATACATTGGAGGTTGGAACACTTTCTTGAGCCAAAGTGTGATGTAGGTAATATAATTTAAGTCGTAGGTTTTGTAAATTTTGTCATTTATCCAGCAGCCTTTTTACAAAGTGAAGTATCTCTTGTGCACTTGTCTGTTCAATCTGGGTTCCATGTAAGTTGTCAATGAATAATTAGCTATTAATTATATTAAATTAGCTGAAGGAAGGATTGCTGTATATGGGAGCAGTGGTTATTCTTCATCACTGGTTCATTGTTTTTAAGATTAATCTTTTTTCACCACTTGAACAAATCTGGCTTTCTTTAATAAATTGGAACTGGAGATTAAAAAAATAAAATAAATAAACGTTTGAGTAGTTTTTGATTTCATCCTTATTTTTCTCGCTTATGATTTTTAAAAACTAAACGTTGCTAACACAAACTGAACGAAAATACATTCAGCTTTCTAACAATCATAATGGCTTTGAATTTGGATCAAATCTAGAGTAGTTATGAATTTTTAAGTCCAAATTTGGGAACACAAGAGAACAAATAATTAATCAAAATGCCCCAGCTGATCCAGCCCAAAAATTCTACTCATTGTTTTCTTATCCTAGATTTAAAATATGTATTTATACATAATAACCTTGAAATATACACACACAGCAAGGCAGAATACCGTATTTTTGAAAAATTAAGTAAATTAATTTTTTCTGGGTTCCTTGGCACAAATGCTTGAACATGTGTTTAATACTTTTTGCCTTAGTATCACCAAATAAAAGTTTCATTAAAATCGTTCATCCCACATTTATAACAGCTATTTATTAAATACTTAAATATGATTAGTTTATGCTTCCAAATGCCTGTGATTTTTTTTTATATATTTTTTTTAATAGTAAAATTTTTTATGGCTGTGAAACGATATCACAGATTCATAGGAAACTTTACAGAGGTGTAGAAGTTTATAAACTACACATAACAGTAAAAATCTGGCTTCCTATAATAAATTAGAAGTACAGATTAAATAAAATAAAATAGTTTTGTTGATTTTATCCTTATTTTTCTCACTTATAATTTTTTTAAACTAAATATTGTGGGCATAAACAGAAAGAAAAACATTCAACTTTCTAACGACCATAATGCATTGAATGTGGATAAAATTTTAAGTCGGGGGGAAAAAAACACTTATCCAGCCCAAAAATGTCTATTTTCTGGTAGCCATGAAAATTCGTATTTAAGGGCTTTAAATTGTTTTTAAAATGAACGCTAATTGATTTTTTCAAAAACAAATTTTTTGGCCTAATTTACTTTAAGTGTCTTGTTTTTTTGCAACATTTTATATATCTAATCTCATTTAATACGATTCTGCACATTGTTTTCTTATCCTACTCTTAACCTTGAAATACACGCACACAAAGGCATTAAATTTTTTTTTAAATTAAATAAATTGCTTAATGTTTTCTGGGCTTGTAGGGCCCTTTGGCAAGAACACTTGGGCACAATTCTTAAAATATTTTTTTGACCTTGCGTCACCAAAAAAATGCATTAAAATCGTTCATCCCACATTTATAACAGCTATTTATTAAACACTTAAATATGATTAGTTTATGCTTCCCAATGCCTGCGATTTTTTTTTTTTAAATAGCGTTAAATAAAATCATTAATCCCACATTTATAATAACAGCCATTTTAATAAAAATTTAAATATGAGAAGAAAAGAACATTTTAAGGAGTTTATGTTCCTGTGAAATACAAGACATTGATCTAACAGTTTTTATTTTGTATATAAACATTTGACCATTTGCTTTATTTATTGAATGACATTCAATGTCTGTTAAACAACTTTAGGATAAAGTGTGTGGTGGTTAGTAACCGTTAATCGATAATTATTCAAAAATCATGAGATGCGGTCTGGTGTGATGTAGGTTTCAGAAAAACATTTTCTTTATCGTACCAACGTTTCGATCTTTATTGAGATCATCTTAAGGGCCTGGGTCTGAAGATGATCTCAATAAAGATCGAAACGTTGGCACGATAAAGAAAACGTTTTTCTGAAACCTACATCACACCAGACTGCATCTGACGATTTCTGAATAATTAATTTTAGGATAAAGTGTTCAATTATTGGTTACATTCAACTAATAAAATTATATCAAAACTCACCTATCATTGCTGCAATTTTATCAACTAAATTGTACAACGCCCAAAAATTAGGAGCCCAATAAGCATGGCACAGTCCTCTTTTGAATGGAAACAAACGCGCTATAACCTATAAAAGGACCAATAAATAACAAATTTACATACGTATATATTATAAATTTTACCTTTTCAACTTGCCCCATTAAAATAAACGGACCAAAGGACAAGAACGTCACGCCGAGAACAACCGAACCAAGTTTCATTAATTGAACAGCTGTCGATTTAATACAAAACTTTCCTTGTTTGTAAGTAACACAGTAATTTTTCAAAAGATAAATTCCGTACGCAGGAGCCATGTATAAAAATATATGCTTCATATTGAGCAGAAATGTAAACCAAAATGCTCCAAGTAGATGTTCATCCTGAAAATATTTTTTACGATTAATAATTGATTAAATTAATTGCGAATCTAAGTCGAATTAAATGTATGTATTTTTTATATAATTACTAAGTATATTAAGCAAAATGAATCTTAACATTTTAATTTTCTTTGATTTACTTTAATTTTACCGTTTCAGCTTTTGATATAATTCAAACAAATTTTTTTTAAGAAGCTAGGCCACTATTTATTTGTTCTCATGAAGTAAAAGGCACGGATTGATTCACAAGGAGGGGTAAAGCATAAGGCTGCATTACTTCCAACTGTAGGAGTAACATTTTATCATCTTTTGTTGTAACGTTTAATAAGTTACAACTCACACTTAAGACATATGAGATAGAGATTAATAAAATTCCAAGTAATACTCCGTTATACTGAAAATGCATGTGGTCTACAATCAACAGACCAACGTTAACAAGCACTAGTAATTCAAATATAGTAGACGGAGACCTCCATTTTGATTTCTTTTTGCTGCATTTCTTTTTAGGATGATTGGAAAGATAAGTCGATAATCTGAAAAGGAAAAAGAAGGCAAAGAATTATTTTGTCTCAATATAATAAATAAAAAATTCTTCTTAAGTTGGATGCTGTTAAAAATACACACAAAGATTAAAAAAAAAATAAAAATCGGACACTTGCATTTTGTAGTTTATTTCAAAAGAAATGTATTTTTATCATTATATTAATTACAGCACACTTTTTTGTAATGTAAACCAAATTAAACGAGATTAGAAATTCTCGAGTTTTAATAAAAATTATTATTAGGAGGGCCTTTAAGTCTCTAAGCATTGAGTAAATCAGCAACCAGATTTCATCTTGTGAAACAGAATCTCATTTTTAACAAAAGTGGTTTACAACCGTTCAACAAATGATGTTTAACCCATCTCTTTACCATGTCCCAAAAGCGTTCTGGGGGATTCATGTCAGGAGAATGTGCTTGCCAATTCATTGTAGGTAATTTCTACATCCTCCTTGTAATGGGTGACAACCCGAGCTACATGGAGTCGAGCATTATCATGCGCACGAAGTTGTCCCCAAGAGAGCGAATCCCCAACTTCCAGAAGAACTTCCTCAATGTGGGCATGGAAGTTTATTCCACACCGTGCCATAACTGACTGTCTTTGAAAAGTCACTCAAGCACATGAAGCAAAGCATTCTACATGTCTTCTCCATACACAGTCCCAGTAATCTGACAAACCAAACTGGCGCTTATCTGTGGAGAGAATAAACCACCACTGTTCAATTGTCCAAGCGAGATGCTGATTTGTGCATTGTCGCCTTTCTACTCGATGCCTTTCCAGTAGTGAGAACCCAATGTGAAACGTTGACGATGACCATCTCACATAGGTTTTTCTTTGCAAGAACAGCAGCAATATAGGGGATATTAGTCTTTATTTCCAGAGTGTGGATTTCTTGATTAACCGAGTACCACAGCTTTGGTGCTACGAGTTTTATCACCAAATCTGGTTGCCGTAATCCCTAACGAGTTGACCTTCTTCTCAATCCATGGCTCCTGCATTGCTACGATATCGATGCCATCGCAGGCGATCAGTTCCCTCAGTTCGTTACCGACATTTGTGGATTTGTGTGCGTTTAGCTGAAATATTGTAGATGTAATAAGCCCAATAATTGATTTTACTTTTGACATACGCTTTAGCCCTTATTTGAAATGTACATATTTTGTCACCTGACATATGATCAACATTTTGTAATTTTCCATTGACGCAATTAACGCATTTAAATGAGTTGGTTTTTAGCAATTTTGCATGTTTGAAATTTTAGGCACTTTATAACCTCTTTCCATATCGTCGGGTTGATTTCTGCAACCCAGTTGAAAGTTTTTCCTTTTTTATTTCTATATTTAATTTTAAGGTCATCTTCATTCTTAAAGAGTTCATTGTTTTGCTCCAACAGTTCTTCCTGAAGGTCGCTTATCGTGTATTCATCCGAGATGCCGCATAGAGTAATAGTGGGCTTTTTCTTGGACGGTCCAATTGCTTCCAATCCAAGCACATTTAATTAGGGACATGACTCTAGTTTCTTTTCATAGTTGTCCGTTTCGACTAGAAGTGCTAAATTTTCATTTGCAGTGGGCCTCATGTTTGTAATTCTTATGCCGAGCAGTTTGTGGCCAAATCTGTGTTTAAGTTTTTCTTTGATGGCGGTAGAGGTTTCATTAGTTTTAGACTTGATTATCACTACTTTGTTCAAATTGGGGTTCGCAATCTTTTTCTCCTTTAGCGTCGTTTTGCTGTTTCTCCTTGTAATTTGTGTCCACGGGATTTTGATTTTGAACGATGTTATTGGTTATGTCTATGATTGGTAACTGTGGGGTGCTTGAGGGAGTTGTTGCTTGCATGAGGTGTTTTTTGTCTTTTGGTGTAATATTTGGCATAATTATGTTTAAATCAGTTTTATGTTTTGTTAACCTGCATGCTATTATCTTGAATGTGATTAATTTTTTTGTTCGTTGTTGTTATGCTTCCCATAATGTTATTTAGCATGATTTCATGTGCTTGCATCCTTTCCAAGACCTGGTTTTCTAAAATGTTATTTACTTTTACCACTTCCATCACTATTGTTCTTTTGTTGCATGTTATTTAAATTTAATGTTTGGATTTGGGTTTCTAGATTTTTTATAATTTCATTTTTTTTATTAATTATTGCTTCGTATTTTTTGTCAGTTTCTGCTGCAAATTCTATGCTTTTCTCGACGGTCCCGCCAGTGAGAACAATTTTTTGTCGGAACTTTTGCCTGATGGCTTCACATACTATTCATCCATCTGTGAGGTTGCGTATATGTCGATGTCCTTTAGGAATTTTGATGCGGATTTGCCAGCAATTTTTAATGCGCTATCGCGAATTGTGATACTTTCCTGCATGCATTCATAGTTTGAGTCTTGTTGATGGTATCGTGACTTATTTTCGAGAGTGCTAACATCATACTCCCTTTGTTTATGCTTCTCTCTAGTAGTGAGGTGCTGTTCTTCCGGATGGTTCACTTGTTCGTTCTGCTTTTCTTCTTTGGTTTCATTATTTTTTCTGCATTTACCCAAATTCCCCTGAGCCACAAGGTCTGCAGTTTTTTTTGACAGGTACCTGCTTAACGTCGATTGGTCAAATTGATGCCCTCCTGGGATAAGTGCTAACATCCTGGGTGAAGCTTGAATATATTAGTGATCAGCACACGAAGTCTTCCGATGAAAATCGTTTGGAATCAAGGAAGCAGTTAAATGGCAAGATCAATAAAATGATCCATTGTGCACCGTGGTCAACTACTACTTTCTCTTCGAATGAGACTTCTGGTGGCCCTGAACTGCTGTAGACCAACATGGATGTTAGAGCATGGAAACCCATGACTTGGGCTACGTCCGTCCTTAGCCACATCTGCCCAGGCAAGATTTTCTCAACTTAAAACTATGCTTTCAAGAAAATAATAATTTTTTACTCAAATTTATTGTTTCATCAAAGAAAACAATTTAAAAAAACATCAATTAACTCACTGACAAATTGGCTCCGGAAAGGATGAAATTGAACTTATTTTCTTTATTTTAAATCTAAATATTGTAAAGTCTAAAGACTCTAAAGATATACTACAAGTTATTAATGTTGTATTTACCTTTAAATCAACTACTAATCTTTACACGTGGTTATTATGGAAAATAAACAAATATGTCCTTTTTTTGTCTTTGTGTGTATTTATAAATGAAAATTTTATTTATACTCTTACCTCTTGGTCCCAACAGCTAATACTAGATCTGATATTATTACTGTCATCCTTTGGAAAACGACGGCACTGGTTGAACTGTAATTTAAGTTGGTCAATTCCAACATTTTCGGATTGACGAATGCAGCAAATTGTGACAGAAAGTATTCGAACCAGGCGAAAAATGGCGGGTAATCCAACGTCCATTCGGAAGTGTTGTCAACGTACCACTTCTTCATAGGTAAGTTGTACGTGATTGCCAACCAGTTACGGTGGACCTCAAAATCTGTCGATTTACTGAAACCGAAACAACACTTAGAAACAGGGAGGCTTAACGTTGCAGCCAAGGGGTCAAATCAATTTACAATATTTTTTTTAAATTATTAACATTCAACGGGCTTTGCTGGGATTCGAACCCAGAACACAAAACCCTACGGGACCTCAAGGAAAGGCTTAAATTTATTAACACCTAACTTAGTTATTTAATTAATTAATTTATTTTAATTTATGTATTTTATTTGTTTGTATATAATTTATTTATTCATGTATTTATGTACCCATTTATTCTAAGTTTTGTTATAAAAATATGTAGCTATATACAGGGTGTCCCAGTTCCTTCTGACGAAACTCAGGGAATCGATTCTACTCTTCGTTTGGAGAAAAAAATGCTCAGGAGAAATTTTTTGGAAAGTTCTTCATTTTGAAGATATTCGTCAATTTAGGTTTTTTCAACTTTTTGCTACCTTACCACATAAAAACGCTTACAACTTCCAAAATGTTGAGACTACAACAAATCCAATTGCACCATTTGAAAGAACGCTAAATTTGCTGTAAGATACTTCTTTGCAGTAATCTGAATGAGGTAAAATGTTAGCCAATATCAGTTGAAACATGTCAAAATTACAAAATTTAAAATTTTGGTCATGATTGCACGTTCTACTGAGGTTACAAAAAATACCTACATTTTGGAAGTTGTAAGCGTTTTTATGTGGTAAGGTAGCGAAAAGTTGAAAAAACCTAAATTGATGAATATCTTCAAAATACAGAACTTTCCGAAAATTATCTCCTGAGCATTTTTTGCTTCAAACGAAGAGTAGAATCGATTCCCTGAGTTTCGTCAGAAGGAACTGGGACACCCCTTATATATATATATATGTGTATATGTACACAGTGTGTGTGCATATGTATTATGTACATATTTATATTTATTTTATATGTACTTATATTTATTATTTATTTAATTTATTAAATACACTAGGGATTCATACATTATATTATACACAGACTAAACACATATCACAATAAATATTAGTCGTAGGATTTTTTTTTTTTAATTTTTCCCCAGCAGTGTATATATATATAAAGGTGCCAATAAATTGTGTGGTGAATAAAGGTATCGTCCTGGGGTCACTATGTATTTGTTTATTAAAATAAAATAAAAAAACTTGGGGAAAAAAAAAAAACAGAACCCTAGCATGGCAAATACGAGATGGACACCCTAGCAACTTAATCACTACAGTCCCCATAAAAAACAAATAAATAATTCTCTTTTATTTATCAATCCTTCTATCTATTAACTATTTGCAATCCAAATTGTACAATAAAATATCAAACAACAAAAACAGCTAATAATCTCTCATAGCTTATCAAAACTTAAAAGAAAGGAAAAACACAATTGGGAAACAATTTGTATTGAAATTAGTCAGAATATTACCTGATAAAAAGTATCTAATCAATAAACAATCAAATTTTTTGTCAAATAATTTAATCTGATTAGAAAGGCTTGTTTCCAAGTAGTAACAGAATATTTGAAATTTGGTTGTCTCTGACTGAATCTACTGGCTATCCTTTTTACTATAAGGCTGCAGCACTTGAGGAACACAAAAGTATCGGAAAAGACTTCTACACGTTTATCACTTCAACGACCTCCACAAGAAATTAGGGGAAAACATCCTTCCATATACAATGAAACCTTTGATAAAAGACTACTCAGTTTAGGGGACACCTTTTTACAGGACAGTTACACATTAGCATGGAAGATTTATTTTGTATGTGTTTATACAACTGCTTAGAGGAAACGACAAATAAAGGGCACTGCCATGTAAACTGATTTACCGCCAAAGTATGACTTTACAAGAAAGAAAAGAAATTTTTGATTCTCACGAAAAGTTTGAGAAGTAATAAATTAAAGCTTAGCAAAGCATTATAACAAAAACCTCTCTTTAGAGGCCACTTTATAAAAGAGGACTAAAGTAGTGGCTGTCCTTTAGCAAGAGATTTCACTGTATTATAAGTAGTCTGGATTTGTATGCAATAGCATATTCTTTTTGAATTATCGAAACAGTTACGACCTTGGTGATCAAATATTTATCAGAATCTTTGTTGTACAATTGTTCAAATTTTCTGCCTTTTTTTTTTTTTTTTTGTATATTGAAAGAACATTGTGAATTTATTTTTTTTATATTAGGTAATTTAAAAAAATTAGGCATGAGCATAAAGTGCATGAAAGGAAAAAACAAAGGCCTAAAATTCAGTTAGAATTTCAGTTAACTCTCCAGGACGTAAATAACAACTTGAAATAATCAGCATCCAGTTGTTTAATAGAAAGGCAAATAGTTCAATTGCATTCCAGGTACAAATTAAAATTTATATCCATCATGCAAAAAAAAAAGTGACTCTGGAGGTATATGTTACACTCAGGGAAGCAGAAACAAACCGGTTCAGATATTGTCAGGAAAAAGAAAGAACATGTCCTCTGAAACATTAACAAAGCTTTGGGATTTGATAAAAAGCCTGAAAATTAACAAAGGGATAGAGATTTCACAGTACATAAAATTGGTCATAAAGAGGCCGACTCCTACCTAATATAAACATACCCAGTTGGTTCAGCATTTGTGCACAAACATGTTGATGAACTATCAATCTTAATACAGCCAGTCATCAAGCTGGGTTACTTAAAAAGCATGTACAATTCTTCACTGAATATGGCATTAAGCTGAATAGTGAGTAACACAGTGGTAGGTAGTAGATGGACTCAGTGCCGGTTCGACGTTTATTCACCGGCTTGCAGATCAACACCATCAACTTTAACACAGTTAGTCAGGTTACATTGCACATATATGTACAGTAAAAAAAGTATGTACAGCTCATTGGAGATGGCTAAAAGGTGAAAATTGTTTGAGTAACATCAAACTGATGAGTTTAAGACGGGCCCTGTGCTGGTACATTTGTTCAACTTGCAGATCAACTACCTCACTTGAACACAGCCAGGCTAAATCTCTTAAAAATTGCATACAGCTCCTCACTGAAAATTGCACAAAGCTGAAATTTGTTCGAGTACCATCAAAACTGGCAAGTGTGGAGTGTTGGTTCAACATTTTTTTTTTTTTTTGACTAGCAGATCATTCACCTTAAAGTAAGGTCTTGACATCCAGCCAGGCTAAGTTAGTCAAAAAGTGTGAAGTTTCTCACTGAGTATGGCACAAAATCGATATAAAAATTTTTCCTTAATAATGAGTATAGCTGCGTTCAACATTTTTTTGACTGGCAGATCAACTACGTGACTCCACATCCAGTCAGACCAAGTCACTTAAAAATTGTGTGCTGCTCATCTCTGAAGATGGCACAAAGCTAAAATTTGTTTGAGTAACAACAAACGTGAGTTTAGGACTGACGCCGTGCTGGGTCAACATTTGAGCAACTTGCAGATCAACCACCGCATTTTAACAAAACCAGTCAGGCTATGTCACTTACTACGAATGTACAGTTCTTCTTCACTGAGGATGGCGAAAAACTAATTTCAACATGTTTGCGTTATAAAAAGTGAACAAAAACACGTGCCTAACATTTTTAGATCTAGTATCAGAAAGAAAGTTTCAATAAAAATTGTGTGTCCATTGCCACTCCCTTGTAAGTGCAGATCCAACCCTTGGCTGTTTATAAAGAGCAGGTAAGCGTTTATATATATTAACTGTTGTTCTTTTTGTATATGTATATTTTACTTAAATGCTAACTTAAATTTATTACTGTTTTTTTTTCAAAACAATTTTTTTTGTTTATTTTGGTGGGCACTACTTTTTTATATGTAAAAATATGTTCAGTTGCCAGTTCAACATTTTTTTGACTAGCAGATCAACTACATGACTTCACATCCAGTCAGACCAAGTCACTTAAAAATTGACTACTGCTCATCTCTGAAGACAAAATGAGCCAGGCTATGTAACATAAAAAGTATGTACGGCCCCTCACTGAGGATGGCACAAAACAATTTCAAAATGTTTGCATTATAAAGAATATAGTTGCCAGTCCAACATCTTTTTGACTACCAGATCAACTACTTGTCTTCACATCCAGTTCGACCAAGTCACTTAAAATTGTGTACTGCTCATCTCTGAAGATGGCACAAAGCTGAAATTGTTTGAGTAACAACAAACAGGTGAGTTTAGGACTGAACCTGTGTGCTGAGTCAACATTTGTTGGACTTGCAGATCAACCACCGCATTTTAACAAAACCAGCCAAGCTATGTAACTTACAAAGTATGTATAGTTCTTCACTGAGGATGGCGAAAAACTAATTTCAAAATGTTTGCGTTATAAAGAGTATAGCTGCATTCAACATTTTTTTGACTGGCAGATCAACTACGTGACTTCACATCCAGTCAGACCAAGTCACTTAAAAATTGAGTACTGCTCATCTCTGAAGACAAAATGAGCCAGGCTATGTAACATATAAAGCATGTACGGCTCCTCACTGAGGATGGCACAAAACAATTTCAAAATGTTTGCATTATAAAGAATATAGTTGCCAGTCCAACATCTTTTTGACCACCAGATCAACTACTTGTCTTCACATCCAGTTCGACCAAGTCACTTAAAATTGTGTACTGCTCATCTCTGAAAAACTAATTTCAAAATGTTTGCGTTATAAAGAGTATAGCTGCATTCAACATTTTTTTGACTGGCAGATCAACTGTGTGACTTCACATCCAGTCAGTCCAAGTCACTTAAAAATTGTGAACTGCTCATCTCTGAAGATGGCACAAAGCTGAAATTTGTTTGAGTAACAACAAACTGGTGAGTTTAGGACAGACCCCGTGCTGAGTCAACATTTGTTTGACTTGCAGATCAACCACCGCATTTTAACAAAACCAGCCAAGCTATGTAACTTACAAAGTATGTATGGTTCCTCACTGAGGATGGCACAAAACAATTTCAAAACGTTTGTATTATAAAGAATATAGTTGCCAGTCCAACATTTTTTTGACTAGCAGATCAACTACTTGTCTTCACATCCAGTCCGACCAATTCACTTAAAATTGTGTACTGCTCATCTCTGAAGATGGCACAAAGCTGAAATTTGTTTCAGCAACAACAAACAGGTGAGTTTAGGACTGAACCTGTGTGCTGAGTCAACATTTGTTGGACTTGCAGATCAACTACGTGACTTCACATCCAGTCTGACCAACGAACTTAAAATTGAGTACTGCTCTTCTCTGAAGATGGCACAAAGCTGCAATTTGTTTGAGTAACAACAAGCTGGTGAGTTTAGGACGACCCCATGCTGGGTCAACATTTGTTGGACTTGCCGATCAACTACATGACTTCCAGTCAGACCAAGTCACTTAAAAATTGTATACTGGTCATCTCTGAAGACAAAATGAGCCAGTCTATGTAACATAGTTTAGACCAGACCCCGTGCTGAGTCAACATTTGTTCGACTTGCAGATCAACCACCTCACTTTAACAAAACGAGCCAGGCTTTATCACTTACAAAGTATGTACGGTTCCTCACTGAGGTTGACACAAAACCAATTTCAAAATGTTTGCGTTATAAAGAGTATAGTTGTTGAACTTATGATCTACCATAAATATGTTAAAATACTCACTATGAGGCCATCAGGAGGATTTTAATGCACGAGGCAAGACCGACGATTATCATAAACATCTCAGATGCCGGTTGAAATCACTGTTTAACCCAAAATAATAGAAAAATGGTTAGAAAAAGACAATTTCACGGATTCCCTTTGGCGCTACATCTGACATTAAATCAGTCCATCCGAAGCTGAGAAGATTAAAAAAAAAATTGGAAAAACACTATTGAGGACTTTTTAATGTTTACAAAACGAACTGACAGCTTCGGATCAACCGACTGAGGACAGCCGACAGGGCGAAGTCCTAAGCAAGTGCCAAGTGCCACGGCAACGGCGGGGACCCCCCCCCCAACCAGCACCAGGTCGTCTCGTGGTTTATCATTAAACTGTCACAGCGCACTTTTATTTTATTTATTTATTTAAACGGGCAGATGTTCAAAATATAATAAATAAATATACAATTTTGCAATAAAAAATATATATAAATTTGTCCATTTGTAAAAATCATAACTTAATTATTCATTTGTAATGAACTATACATTAAAGGAAAATTGGTTGAGAAAGTAAACTGTACAGTTGGAAAAGATTAAATATGCCACGCTTTGGCTCCTTTCAGGGAGCGAGTAGGCATGGCACCTAATATAATGACAGCCCTTGAGCACAAGAGTGGGTTGTTGGGCCCCTGTTCTGATTTTTAAAGAAGCCAGGGTTGTTTCCCAGTCTGTAAGTATTGTAAATATTATAAATGATTTCTGTGTACCTCTACATCTTGTATATATGTATATATTTGTTTGTGTATATAGCTGTTTGTGTGAATGAGTGAGAGGTATGAGGGGAGTAAGAGGGCCCCTTACATGTGCATACTCTAGAAGTAAATTTAGTTTTATAAACACAGTAAAATAATAATACCAGTAATAATAAAACATATAATAAAATGAGCAAAACAATAATGACAGTAATATATTCTTTAAAATATTAAATATCGAAAATCGAATGTTGAAACCACATTAAGAAAGAAAAGCGCAAAGAGAAAAAAGGGTAAAAGGAAACAAGGAAAATAAAAAGAAGAAGGAAAAAAGAAGATTATTCATGTTGTTTTTAAAACGTCAGATAACATAAACTTGACACAAGCCAGCGAGGAAGCAGAACATACTTTCTAGGATAGGAAATTCTAGCCTTGCCCCATTTGTCCCCTTGTAAAGGATAAGGCTAAGATTTTAGAGGAGTGTTGAAGGTTTGGGATATGATTTATATACATACATATTTATTACAACAACAGAGGTCATATCACACCTTGAAGTGCCGGTGTTTTTGAAAAAAAAATTTTTTTTTGTAAGTATGCCAGGTTCAAACGAGGGCTGCTGGATTTGAACCCGAGACCTTTACCTTACAGTGATGAGCACTGTGTCAATGCCTAAACCATTGCAGCCACTGACGCCTCCCTGGGAAAAATTTGGCAGAAAATGAGGACATTTATTTCTTTATGTATATGTGTGTATGTGGAAATGTATACATTAAAACTCTAAAGTCTATTTTTATAGGTGCTTAGAATGTTAAGGTCGCCGAAAACCTTTATGTAGAAATATACACGACCTTTTGGTTTAAGATCTTAACAGGAATGCAGGAATGATAAACAATTTAAGGCGATGAAGAGATTGAAAGTCTAAGAAAAGAGAAAAAATAGCACTACAATACTAGAATAAAGGAATTGTTAGGGATTTAATAAGGAGAACAATATATATTATGCAGGGTGGGCGAGCAAGACCCGAGGGGTTAAATGCCTGGGTAGACTAGTACCCCGTCCCTAAAAGGTCTGGGACTTGGTCGGCTCACCTGCATAAATCTCTTGGACCTGTTCACAAACCCCAAGATTTTGGACCATTTAATCTCGGGGAGTGATTTGGTGATGTCCTCTCCTCCAGAGATTTCAAATCTAGACCTAGCATACCTATCACACTCTGCGAGGTAGTGCCTTGCCGTTTCTTCTTTTATTTCGCAAAAACAGCAAAAGGGATCTGGTAGGATACCCATTACGAAGAGATGTCTTCTCAGTGGGCAGTGGCCCGTCAGGATACCTATCAGCCTCCTAATTCGCTTCCTTGAGATAGAGAATGGCCATTTCGATTCTGCTGGTTTGATCGCCTTAACAAACTCTCTCGATTGCCTGTGTCCTGGAGATAAATTCAACTCCCTAAGGAATTGTTTCATGCCCCAGTTGTTGATACTCTCTTTTGCTGTGCTCATAGAGTGTGGTAATACCAGTTATGGCCTAACAAACGCAGTATTAGAACCTTCTTTGGCCAGGCCATCCGCCTGAAGAGAGGAGAACAATAGTTTTCCGTGGAGTGAAGAAGGCGACGGAGATAATGGAGGCTTGCGTACACTTTTTAATGAGTTCATGTGGTCATGCCACGCAAGTTTGGAGTTAAAAATAATACTGAGATTTTTAACTTTAGGACAAAAATTAATACGGGAGCGGCAATCTGTATTAATGAGTTTATTGGAAATTAATAGGGACTGGGATTTGTTAGAATTTAAAACAATGCCTTTTTTGACCATTGATTAGGAGAATGAAGATCACGGTTGAGCAGAAAGATAACTTCAGATATGTTGCTTGTAGAACATTGAATGTAAAGCTGAGTGTCATCAGCGTACAGATGAAATTGGGAGAAATTAAGAATTAATAGATCATTTAGGAACATGGAAGAGAGAAAGGACAAAGAATAGTGCCTTGGGATACCCCAGGTGAAATGGAGAGACAAGAGGAGAAAGAATTTGAATCTTTAACTCTCTGAGTTCTGTCAGACAGATAGAAGGAGATGGGATTAATAGTAATAGGAAAAAAAACACTGAAAAAATGTGTGTTGTATTTTATTAAGCAGTGATAGAATTTACTTTTAAAACTAGGCGGTTTGTAATGAACTACTGAAATCTATTTGTGGAAACTTTTGAATAAGTTAACTATTTCCTGGAATTGGTTGATACCAGTTTGAAAAAAAAAAAAATAATGCCTTATTAAGAGTAAAACTAGATAAGAAATTGTTAGTGAAATTTATTCTATCACTAAATGATTTTCCAGTGTTTTGTTGAATTTTCTTTCAAACTATAATAATTAAATAATATTTATTAAAACTATTAAATTTTTAATGTCGTTTACTTTGGTTTACATTAAATAAGTATGTTGTAATTAACAGAAAGATAAAAATATATTTACTTTGAAATAACAAAATAAAGTGTTTGGTTTTTTATCTTTGAGTATATTTGAAAGTTTGACTGTTTTACTTCAAATTTTTATTTTATATACAAGGCACTATTTGCAAACATTGTATTAGCAATATCACCTTTCAAATTTATCTTAATAATTAGGCCTAGTTAATTTTCACACATGTTTATTTACATTTAAACTTTTGGTCTCCATGGATTTTTAGTACTTCACTTTTAGTAGCTTTGTCAAACACAACACATCTTTGTTGTGCACAAAAAGGTAAATTTATTATTATTATTTTAGTTATTTAACTAGTTTTATTACATTATAGCTGACTTAATTGGTGATGTTTTGTTGTTGGAGTTGAATTTCAATTATGTTGGGGTTCACTATTTTATGGAGTGTTTCCAGTGTTGAAATAATAATAACGAGGTGAATGACAAACACAGCATGAATTTTATGTCTTGTTGTAAATGTCATGAAGTATGTGAAATTAAATAAAAAATATATGCTGTAAATCGCACAGTTATTTTTTGAATTTATTTGGGTGGAAAACTCCGTATAATACTGAACCCTGAGATTATGGCTGACTTTAAATTACTGTGATTAAGCTCATTTGGTGATAACGCTTAGAAATCGTTGGTTTACATAAAATCTGCACATCACACACACACACACACACACACACACACACACACACACACACACACACACACACACACACACAGAGTTGGTCCTATTACTTCTTGCAGCTCTCTAGCAATTCCAACCTTTGTTATTTACATTAAATTACTGGCAGACATTTAGACCACCTACCTTGAGTGTAGTCTGGGGTCAGACTTTGGTCTTATCCGTCCAGCCACTGAGGTTGAGCTTTAGGGACTATGGAACAGCTATGTCATTTGAGATCCTAATGCAATCAGTTTTTTTTTTGTTTTGCATTAGATGCTAAGCCATAGCCTTGCCACAAATACGGAATCCATGAAAGGCCCCCTCACCCCTGAAAGCAGGCCCTCATCACCATACCGAAGGGGACCAACGACCACCACAAGCATCTCTCTCAAATTTGCCCTCTGTAGACACTGTAAATACCAGGGTAGGACTCCCTATGGAAGGTGTGCATGTAGTGCTAGCCATCGCTACCTTTCCAGGATCCTGGGGTCCATTCTAAATCCCAGAGAGTTTCTAGATTCAAACCTATTTACACTATAGCTAATTTAAGTAGGGTCAATGGGGGTCGATATTCCGCCATTGGCCCTCTCACACTACACGTTCATGCCAATAAATACATTCACTCTCAACACACACTAGGGGTCACAATACTATCAGTACTATATACAATAAAACAACAGGGGAGTCAACTACTTGCTACTGTGCTCGAGCACAATATCGTGTGGCATTCCTACGCTCTCTACAAGGAGTGGCACTTTTCAATTATGTACACATCAAGCAACCTTCTACATGCCGAACACATATGCAGCCTTTGGCTCAAAAGTAAATGTTTCATGTCTCAACCGCACTCAGAGGATGACCCTTCTTCTCTGAATCAGATCCTACGAGGGCCACTTATTGACAGTGGAATTGATACGCAAGAGCTCCTATGCTGATGCAGCTCACCGACGCTACCACTTTCTTTTAAGTATGTTTCTTGTAGCGTTTTTAGTGTCAGTTCAAGGTGACTTGGTCCAGAGGTTGGGTAAACAGCTTTTGTCCTTTTGTCACCCTCCAGAGGTGTGTGTGTCCTGATTGCTGAGACACTTCACTCCATGGTGTCTCTCCTCGTGTGTTCCTTCTTGATTTTTCCAAAGCCTTCGATTCTGTCCCTCACTCTTCTCTCCTCTCTAAACCCGCATCTTTTTCGTTCTCTGCCAGCACCATCCATTGGTTCCACTCCTACCTTACCAATCATCACCAAGCTGTCTCCCTTCCCAATGGCCTTACCTCCTCCTTCCTCCCTCTAAAATCTGGGGTGCCCCAAGGCTCTAGCATCTCTCCTATCCTTTTTTCCATTTATATCAATGACCTGCCAGACTCCATCTAGTCCTGTGAATATCACCTATATGCCGATGTCTCCCAAATATACACCTTCCACCCTTCCGATCTTCACTCGGCCATTCTCAAGATCCAAAAAGGCAAACTCCATCAATGAATGGGCACATAAAAATTCCATAGTCCTCAATCCGTACAAATCAACTCCTCCATTCCAGGGGTCCAGGCAACTCCTCAATTCCCTCGCCAGCATCCCAGCTCTCATGCTAAATAACCATCCCATTCCCTTCTGCTCCTCAGTTAAAAACTTAGGAGTAGTCTTTGACCAAAACCTTTCCTGGCATCCTCACATTTCCCAAATTTCCCGCCATTGCATTGCCTCCCTCAGCCTGTTTCGTTGGTCCTGGCTTCTCTTACCTTTCTCCACCCGCAAACTCCTTGTATCTTCGCTTATACTTCCCTTCTTCGATTATAGCTGTGGTCTCACGAAGGGGGGAATGCGCCATTGAAGTGTATTATGAATTGTTGTGTAAGATTTGTGTTCGGCACCCCACGGGGATCCCGGGTGTCGGGGTTGTATTCCCAACTTTCCTGGCTATTCCCCTCCTTCCGTGCACAGTATTTCCTAGGTCGCTTTCTTTTCCAGTCCATCCACACTCGTCGTCCTCCTTACATCACCCAATCCCTCCAATTCAACTCCTCACATCACACTCGTAGCACCTGCTCATCCCCAATCGACTTTATCCTTCCGCAACATACAACCCATACCTTCAAAAGATCCTTTCTGATCCGAGCCCCTAAACTCTGGAACTCCCTTCCCCTTTCTATTCGTCACGCTGCCTCCTTTTCCTCCTTTAAATCCCACCTGTATAATCACCTCCTCTCCCTCCAAGCAGAGACCTCACGTTAACATTTGATATTTTGGTTTAATATTCTTGTAATTTTCTCTTCTGGCCTGTCTTACTGGTATACATTGCGCCAAGATTTCTATCTCTTTTTACTTTTCAAATTTCAAAAAGGAACTTCCTTTATTTATTTCATGTTTATTATTCTTAGGGGACACCAGACCCAGAATAAAGTTATTTTTCTTCTTCTTCTTCTCTCCAACAAGAACAGTTTTGAAATTAATTTATGAATTGTAATTGATTTATTTCAATTGTTGCAATTTAAAACATACTTTATGTGCTACTAGCATTTCATGAAAGAAGAACTCAAAAACTTAAATCTAAAGACTAAATAAAAGACTGATACAGTTTCTTTCAAATATATGTTTTTACTTTCTGTAAAATTCTGTCCGTAGGATTTTGAATAATTTCCTAATTAAATCTATTTTGGCATTGTCCCTCCATCTCATACGCTTTAGCACTATCGACAACTAAGTCATATCAGCCTCCAATGCATGCAGTTTTTAAACCCAGACACACTCTCACTCATAATTAAATACATCATTTTCTATTTACATAACAGAGAAATAATATTGGTTTTTTGCTCCCGTCTATACAATCGTGTAAATATGTCTATGTATTCTCCAATTACAGTGGAAAAAATTACATACTGTTCACTCTGGTTTTATACATAATAACACTTCTATTTTGTCCTGACTCTACTGCTTTAGTGGAAGATTTCAGTTTCTTTAATGAAGTATTCTTCTCAGGCCTATAGCATTTTTCTCGCTATTACCGGGCATTTGCAAAGGATGCCATCTTTTGTTTGTGCCTCTTCTAGAGGTCATCAGTAGATTATCCCATTTTTTAAAGTGGTATTTTATTGGAGCGTATCTTTAAACAGACATATCCATTAGGAATTTTAGTTCCTTTCCATAGAAAAGGAATTCCTCTTTCTTCTATTGAGTTGTTTGGGCGAGGAATACTTTGCTTGGGTCATGCCTGGCATACATTCCCAGTATTTTTTTTGTTCCTTTAATAAACCCAAGATTCCAGGGTTTTTTTTTTAACATGGCTATATTTATACCACAGAAGATATTTTAGTGTTGTAACATGGCTTTTTTACTGGTGAGGTTGTCAGTTGCTTCAGTGCCTGAAATTCCCTCATGACCTGGGACGCAATTTGCACATCCCAGTTTTTTAGGACATTCGGGAAGTTACAGACTAGTTTTGAGTTGGAGAGCCTTTACGGTGTGTGCATCGTAAGTTTAAAACCTCTCGATGACCTGGGCCACAATTTCACCAGAGCCCAGGAAGTTGAGTGTCTTCTAGGCTTAGCTTCCAGTTTGACTTTAATGGAAAAGAACATGGAAAAGAAAGAAAGAAGGATATTCCAGGAGGTTGTTTAAAATTCCAATATGGACAATTTGGCTGGAAATGGATCTGTACTAGCTGGGAACGCTTACAAAAATTTTGTAATATATCAGACGATATTGTTTGGAGGATAGTAGGGAAAATACCAGGTAGTAACATTGCAATTAACCCACCACCCAAGGTGTTCTATTACTCAAATGCTTAACACAACGAATCACCTCAAGGAAACTTACGTTGACCATGTAGGGAAGTACCAAGTGGATGTGATCATCGGGTCAAACCAGCTGTACAAAATTCTAGCAAGGGAGCCATTGTGCTACCATATACTGGAAGTAGTAGTATTTTCTTTATTATCTTATAGCATTATTATTGCTGTACCTTTGAAATTGTTATTTCTTTCATACCCACATGCCACGAGGTGCTCATAGTTAGGCCCCTTTATGCCCATACCTGTATGGTTGGTATGGTGAAAAAGGATACTAGGAAGCGGGGTTTGTGCTCCCCAGGCACTGCAGCCTTCTGGCTTATTGTACCTTCCTAGTTCCTTAGTTCAGTGCAATAGACTCAATCCTTCTCCTTAGAAGTATCAGGTCATTGACTGTCGCTGCTGCAATTTGATTCCTTAAGTTTTAGTTTAAATCTCCATTGAGCTGTTGCTTCGCATTCGAAGATGATATGAGTGGCTGTTTCCTACTCCTCATCACATAATCTGCAATGGGATCATTGCTGTACATACCCATGTTGTGTAGATGTTTTCTCAGATGCCAGTGACCGTTTAGTAGTCCTACCACTCTGAGTTTGGCCCTATCCAATTGCAGCAATTCTTTTGCCACTCTTGGTGATGTTGTTTCATCATAAGTTTACTATGTCTAGCACCGTTAGAGTTTATCCACCTCTCCTTTTGTTTTGTTTGGATCCATTCTATGATGGAGGATTCTCTATTTGTTTTTGTTATCCCAAGAATAGGTTCAGGCCTATGTATGGTCTTGCAGATCCTCCTCTGGCCAGACTATCTGTTTTCTTGTTACCCAAAATTCCTCTGTGCCCTGGCACCCAAGATATCATCAGGATGTTGTGTTTCCCCAGGTTTTGGAGATTTTGGATACATTCACTGACTAATTTTGATGTGATTCTTTTACATGCTAATGCTTTAATGGCTGCTTGGCTATCAGATCTTATGAGGATTGGTCAGTGTAACCCCTTTTAAGATTTTCCAGGGCACAATCATTGATGGCATACAAAAACAAGAATACAGCTATCATGTCAGATAGTCAAGCAGCCATCAAAGCACTAAGCTCAAGCATCATTAGTTCAAGGATGGTGCTGAACTGCAAAAACAAATTAAACACACTAGGTATGCAGTATAAAGTAAGCCTCTGCTGGGTCCCAGGACACATGGGAGTAGAAGGCAATGAGAAAGCGGACACCCTTGCAAGGAAAGGGGCTGCCACACCGCTGATAGGACCTGAACCCTTCTATGGAATAGGAATCCACACTATTAATGAATATCTCAGACAGAAGGACACAAAGAAAATGAAGGAACAATGGAATTCACTCATTGGACATAGACAATCCAAGAATCTTCTAACTAATTTTGGCAAGAAAGAAATCTCAGAATGTGTCAAAGGAAGCAGGAACAGACTGCGAATCCTAACAGGATTCCTAACAGGACACTGTAGATTAAATAGACACCTAAAGAAAATTGGAACAATCCAAGATGGCACATGTAGATTCTGCAAGGAGGCAGGAGAGACACCAACACATTTACTAACAAACTGCGGAGCTACATTAGCCCGCAGGAGGAAATGTTTTGGGATGTATAATGTGACCATAGAAGAGCTTCAACCATTAAAACCGGCCTATTAATCAAGTTTATTGATGAAATAGGACTCACACCGATGTGCTTTAGGCAGAGAACGGTGGATACAATAGCTCTCAAACGGTGCAGTATACCATACCCTGAAAAATTACATCTACATCTACATCTACATCTACATCATTGATGGCATGTATTTCTGCTTGAAAGACCGAAGTGTACTTCCCTAATGAGTTTGATTGCTCATGTTTTGGGCTTGTACCTGTACTATACACCATCTTTGTCTGAATATCATAGATGAACTCCAGGTTTTTATCTCTTTATTTTTATCTTTTCAATAAAGTTTTTTTCTCTGATATTTCAAGTTACAGCTGTCTAAGTTGTTTTACTTTGGTGAAAATTTTAGCATGGCTGAAATTTGTTTGATATCTTGACGAATTGTCAGTTCCTCAATTATTACAAAAATCATAGCAGGGGATCCAAAGACTCACTGCTGATCGGATGGCATTCCTACTCGCTCCCTATATTGAGCCAAGGAGCGACACCTTTGTGGGGCACATTGACCTTTCTCTATGTTTTTGTATTATTGCTTTATTCCATGTTAGAGCTGTGTAAGTTGTTTTACTTTGGTGAAAATTTTAGCATGGCTGAAATTTGTTTGATATCTTGACGAATTGGCAGTTCCTCAATTATTCCAAAAATCGTAGCAGGGGATCCAAAGACTCACTGCTGATCGGATGGCATTCCTACTCGCTCCCTATATTGAGCCAAGGAGCGAAACCTTTGTGGGGCACATTGACCTTTCTCTATGTTTTTGTATTATTGCTTCATTCCATGTTAGTTTTATGGTTTTCCTTTTGGTAGCAGCATTTTCTATCAGTCTTTATTCTTTTAGTAAGGTTTTTTTAAAATATAAAGTAACCTAAATTAAGGCAGTAATGTATTTATTAAAAGAAGTGTTACATAAACTGCTTACATTCTTGTGATAAAATACAGCAGTTTCATTATTAACTGCTGAGATCCCTTCTGTAATTCATCTATCAATTTTCTTTTCCCTTGAAATTACCTGAGCAATACATGATATTTAGCATATTGCAATAATAAACAAACTAACAGCATATATAAAAATGAAAATACTGATAGAAGTAACAGTGTCCATCACAAGAAAAAAAAAGCAGTAAACTAACAATTACAAAAGCAGAATACAAATAAAACTATTTTAACTGGCACAAGTCAAGCTATTAAATTATCATCTTTAGTCTCAAAAAATATTAGACCTTTCTTGTTTAAACTCTTAATTGACTTAAATGCACGTTAGATGTAACTAAATGACATTAATTCATGAATGACTTCTAATTTTCAATATTTATTGTTCTTAGGTCCAAATTTTACGACAATACGCAAAAATTTTAGTGTCTAAATGCTCAAACCTCATATGGATTCTAAAAAGAAACATGTTGTCATTGTTGACAAAATGTTACCACCAAATAATGTGACTTTCATATCAGAGATCAAATTAAATGAACCGCATGAAGTGAGTGTCGTGAACAAAGAACACAAAAAAATGTCAATGGTCATTGGACACAAAGGTCCTAAGTCTCCACAAAGCACCAAGGATGCTGTTATAAAGGCAGCTATTAGACACGAAAAAGATTCGAGTAGACGACCCGACGATCATCCACCAAAAAAAAGTGTCAGTCATGGACCTTCCAAAGACCACCATCCTGTTCATCATCATAAGAGGAGGCACACCAAGCATCATGAAATACCAGTTCATCCGAAACCCACATGGGATAAAACTGACTGTGAGGAGTCGTGTTCATGTAACGCTGAATGTTCAGATTGTGATCATAGAAGGGATAAAAAAGAAAGGTCAAGTAGACAAGACAAAAGGGTAGATCACACCAGAATTAGAAGGATACCTCGTACCAAATCTGATCAGTCTCATGATTCCCGTCCAGTTCCTTCTTACAGTACTCCGAGACCACCAAAGACTCTTCGCAAAACTAAGAGAAAATCGACACTGAAAGATTCCGTGATGTCTAACGAAGACTCCTTGTCATCAAACGAAGTATCTGATGATTCCACAAATGTATGTTGCATGGGTTATACAGACAATTATGATTTGCAGGATGATGAAGATTACTCAGAAATGGAGTCGTGTCCTTCAGAACGGGATGTGGATGAAGAAACTTCGACCAATTCCAGCGAGATTGTCCCACTAAAGGTTGAAAAAGGGTTCCAGCCGAAAATGATACAACCTCTACCTTCCCAGCGCTTCAATATCCCAAGGAATTGCAAATGTGGGTATTCGAGAAAATATGAGCCAGAACCTCATAGATTCCGCATTTGTTGTTGTCCTGAAACTGGTAAGAAAAACTTGATGATATTACTTGATCAACTAACATCATTTGAAAGAAAGTTTTTTAAATTGTAAAGTGTTTTTTACATAAGACACCTCATTGAGATATAACTTCCTCTCCTAATCCAAATTACAAATAACTCTTTCTTAATAAAAAATATTGAGTTAAAAAAAATTGAAGCACCTTAAAATTGATTTGAAGTCACAAAAATAGAAAGTTGAAATTTTCTTTGAATGTTGTTCATGTTATTAAATGATTTCAAAATTCTGTGACAGTCCCGGTGAAATTTGGGTGATACTATTCATCCTTAAAAATACTTAACTGCTATTTTTCTAGTGTTCTAGCTATTTCATTCATTGTTAATACAAGTAATTGTTTTGAAGCTCGGATACAGGCTGAACTTAGAGAGTGGAAGTCAAAAGTCACTCTTTTGGAAAAAGAGTTGTCCAGCCAGAAAGGGAGTGTTAGAAAATTTACGACTCAGCTTTTCACATTAACAAACAGCCTGCAGGCAATAAACCGTTTTAAAGACACAATGGATCTCAATTTGAGCACTTTACTGTTTATCGCCACTCGAAGAGGTGAAATACAAGAATTCTACGAACCTGTAAGTAAACGCGTTATGGTAACAATTAAATGTCATTGTGGTGATTCCCAAAGGGAAATCTTAAACAGGTTTATCTAGAAATTAAATTTATTGTAAATATTAAGATTAGAATTAGGAATATTTCGGCTAGTTGTTGTCGTATTGTGTAAGATTGGGCAATTGGAAGAGGCCTGGAATCTCGGGAGCCGGCATCGTCTTTCTCAAAAACTCCAGACACAGCTGAACAAAGCTGGCAAAACAGCTTTGTGGTGTGAAGTGGTTACAATGTGGGTCGATCCTGGGTAAACGCCCTGGTAATATTTACTGTTGTGCTGACAAGTGGCCTTATTGCTCAACCCCCAGGATTAGCTAATGCTCGGACTCATCCGGAATAGCTCAATGACCTGGGGAGGACAAGAGCACTCGGGTCACCAGGAAGCATAACAGTATTTCCTAAGCTTAACTGTTCCCCACCTCCTCTCTGACTGATTGATAAAAACGCAATCCCAAAAGTTAGTCCAGTATAGCCAGTGCAGTTGAGTCAGGTTCAGTCAGTCAGTTCAGCTGAGTGCAGTCGAGTTATAGTTAGAGCTCAGTTGAGAGTCAATTAGGAGTTGAAAAAGTAGAGGCGGTCATAAGAGAGCTGTCATGGTCGGGGTAGGCCAGGATCCGGCGAGAAGTTTGCCAGGAGGAGCCAAAGTCAAAGAGGAGCAGGCCAGGAGATGGACAGGAATCCGCCAGGAGGGCCAGAGTCCGTAGGACCGAAGCTGGCTGCCTAGTACTGTGAGTAAAAATTTGTCAATCAGTTGGCGGGAGATTTGGGGACAATTTAGAGGCTGTGGCCAAATCTTGGGTAATGCGTTCCCCAAGAATTAAGTCGATAGATTAACAGAGTTGTTAAGTTTATGATTTAACGTGCTGATTATATATTGAAAAAAAAAATGTTCCAAAGGTTTTATATTATTAATTTTTATATCTTGTTCTGTCCAACAATTTTGACCTATCAAGGGTACAGTGTCTCAGAAGGAGTCATTTATTGTAATATCAAAAAATATTTCATTGCACTTAAAAAACAAAGAAGAAAAAAAGAATTAAAAATTTAGCCGCTCACCACTCACATCATAAATATTACTAACAGCTTTTCTTTCAAACAATTTATGTTTTTTTTGTACTTGATGATTTTATGGTAGTTCTGTTCTTTAATTTTTTTTTACAATTAGAAATAATTTAAACAGGATCTTGTTGGTCCAATTTTCAAGAGGATAAGTGATGAACTGATGACATATCTGACTAAGCATGCTACGTTAGAACCGAACCCTCCGAATTCGGATGAACACGATAAAACGTGTTTGTTGCTGACTTTGGCTGCGAACATCCTAGCGGCCAAAAAGACGTGGGAGTTTTTTACCTCGGAGTCAGCTATGGTGGACTTGCTACACAATATGTTCATAGCCCTTGATATGATACAAAATGTCCCATCTTTACAGAAACTGGAACTGTATGTATAAGTTTATAATACTATGTATGTTTTGTAATATTTCATCGATTTTCTTTCGTTTTAGTATTCTCATGAAAATAATGTATAGCTTGACCATCCACGTTGAAACTTATATGCTCGTACAACAGCAAAAACCAATCCTAAAATGTATCTGTAAATATATACGAATGGATCATCACCACTTTAAAAGGTATTTTGGACTTCAATTTGCTGAAAGGGTGACAAGGTACATTCGCGATAAAGAGACATACTCACTAATAATTAAAACGGTAAATATAACTTAAACATATATTATAATTAATCCTTAAATTAAAGTTTAATTAATCTGAAAATGTGCAGAAACAGTATTTATTGTCTTGAGATGAACAGATAAATGCTAAAACTGTTATTGTCATAAATCCAATTCTTGATAAAGAAAACAATAGTTTTTCCTTTTGATATTATTTATGTTTAGTGGTCTAATTGACCATAATAATTAATTCTTTTTAACTTTTTCATCTCAACCAAGACCTTTCATAAAAAGAATAATTAATTGAAAAATTAGTTTTTCCTTTTGACATTATTTATGTTTAGTGGTCTAATTGACCATAATAATTTTTTCAATTAATTATTCTTTTCACTTTTTCATCTCAACCAAAACTTTCATAAAAAGAACAATCAATTGAAAAATTAGTTTTTCCTTTTAACATTATAAATTATTCTTGCTAAATGAAAAATAAATCATACTGTCCTATTTTATCCTATATTAATAAAATGTAATTTTGTCATTACTGATCATCCTGGTCTCCTTCTCCTTGCTGAGTTGGTCTGGCAGATACAATTTGACATTTTGCCACCTTAAATGTGTGACTATACACCAAAACCTCCTCTATCGATTCTATCCTCTCTGTTGTCCCTCAAGGGAGCATCCTAGGTCAATTACTTTTCAGTATAAATACAGACTTCCCTAAACACTAACACATGCACACTTACGTGACATGGCAATTAACTGCAAACCTCCATCCTAGCAGTTTGATCCCTCCAAGACCACCTCCTCACTTCAGAACCATATGGAGGATTGAATAATAGGTACAAGACAATTTAAAATTACTAGACGTCCGAGACTGGAAAAAACATTACACAGCTTTTCTAACTATGACATTCCTCAAGGGAGCGTCTTAATTCGTTACTTTTCAGCATAGGCTTCCTCCAATACTCTAAAACACTTTACCTTTGATGATCATACCCTAATCAACGTCGATCCATCCAAAACCACCTCCTTACCTGAGAACGTACTAATATTTATAACAAACAAAAAATTTACACAGCTCTTTTGGCTCCGGTGTTCCTCTAGGAAGCATCTTAGGCCGGTTACTTTTCAGCGTAGAGGCTTCCCTTAACACTTTAAACACACCTTACCTTTGATTACAATCAATTGCAACTGTGATCCTGTCCAAGCAGAACAATCCTTCCTAAAGCACCGCCTTACCTTAGTTACTTGAAGATGGCACAATGCCAAAACGCGTTTGAATAACTCAATGACCCACGAGTGGAGACAACCAGTCAGTGACCCTGTGCCGGTTCAGCATGAGTTCACTGACTCACAGACCAAAACCCATCATCAACTACCACAAAAAATACTTTACACAACTTCAGACATACGTATCGCTTATTTTCTAACCTAGTAAAATTCCGATATCTCAAATTATCTCTTCATTTCAACTGCCTCATTTGTGACCTTTCCACTCTTATCCTCCCGGGAGATTGAGGCATTGCTGGCTTCATGACCAACTTTGCATATACACCCATCCATCAAGTTCTTGTCATGCTCTCGAAAAGACTGCCTGATGTTGGTCAACTCACTGGTGGCTCACATTCACGCTTAACATGATATGCTGTTTCCTTGTAATCTCTCAACTTACTGGATAAATTGATGCAGTTATCGATAGTAAAAAGAAAAAAATTACCAAAGGCACAATAAAACAATAATAATGCTGACATTCCACCAACCAAGAACTTATAAAGTAAATTCCTGTCGTACAGGAGGGAGGACCTGTTGGGTGTAGTGGATGAGGGGTCAAACCACTTTTCTATACATATTTTCAATTAAAAGCCATAATTAGTGTGGCAAATAAACCCTAGCCAATTGACCATCCAACGCCTTATAAAAGAAACTTGACTCCCCAAAAATCACACAGACCCAACCCAATGAGGATAAGCAGATCAGGAACAACCAAATTACAGGTTCATCACCCTGCAGACCATATGAATAAATTTCACAATATTAATCAAATGTTCTTTTTTAGTTACCCATGCGCGTAATTGATTTTTATTCAGACCTTGAGCCAAATCAAGACGCTACTGATGTACAGATAGTTTCCGAAAGCATAATCAAACAAGTAGAGAAAAACTATTTGAAACTATTCCCCCAAGCCACTGTACAATCATATAAAGCGCATATTTGCTATCCCTTTTCGTGCCCTTTAGTAAAAGAACAGCCGATTTATTTACGTGATAAGGTCAATCATTCTTCATTTCCTGGCTTAGACGACCAATTAAAAAACAAGAGGGAACGAGAAGATGCGTCTTATTTTAGAAGTATAGCAGACAAACATGACGAACTTGTGGCTGCGAAAGCGGATCTAGCAGCTAGAGGAAAAGTAATAGGAAGAAGTGAGGCTCAGAATCAGAAAAAAAGTTTCACTTTAAGCGATCCTTCAGAGTTAAAACAGAAATTATGTTCAAACAATGCTAAAATTGTCAGAATTCAGGATCAGATGTCTGTCATGGACAAATACAGCTTCAATGGTGGTAGTGTGCGCAATGAAATCCCAGATGAATACCGGCGTCGGGCAACTTCGTTACAATCAAAAATTGTATATGTCACCGATCGATTTGAACCAGTATTAACGATACCAAGAAGTGTCACCGATGAGTATTTTAGCAGCGGCGGACTAAGGCAAAGTAGTGGGAATTTCGTTTTCTTATACAAGAGTAATGTCGCCAATGCCGCTAGCCAAGACTTAGTACTTATACCTTATCAAAAACAAAGTAACGCTGATGAATATAGTTCCTCGTTATAAATAACACTCCATAAAGAAAGAATCGGTTTTCGTCATTCATAATAATATGCAATTTGGATCTACACTATAGTATTGCCAAGCATTCAATAAATCCACTTTCTCATATTATGTATTTTATTATTTACATTAACGGACTAAGTGCTTCGTTTTATGATAGATGGTTTGAAGTTTGCTTATCCAAACAGAAATATATACAATGAAATTGAGGAAATTGAAAAAAATATTTAAAAAATGTTAAGCATACATCGAAGGTCAAAATTATAAAATTTTCATGGAGGGATGGAATCATTTATACTTTATCACAACTGAGATTTTTGTGATAACTGAGACAATTCCAGCACCACTGAGTTTATGAAATGATAGAAATATTTTTGAAATATTCTTAGACTTTTAATTAATCTAGGATATCATTTGAATTTTGGTCTGCCTTTCATTGCTGTGAATAAACATCTTGTCTGATCGTCCAGGACAGAGAAGGCAGGCAGACCAAAATTATCAATGTCCAAGCACATCCAACAGATCTTAAGAATAAATCTCCCAATCATTGATTTAACAATCCAAATTATTGAATAATGAAAATTGGCGACGGGTTGAGAAAACAGGATATTATCCAAATTCAGATTTTGGTTAAAAACAAATAAATTTAAAAAAAATGTAGTTTGGTCATTTTGTTCTGTTTATTCTTGCTGTGACATAAATATCTTGAAAAAAAAGACAGCAAAGGCAGGCAGAAGAAAATGATCAAAAATGTCCAAGAAGGTTCACCAGACCTCAAGAAGAAATCTTCAGCTATTTATTTACTATTAATCTAATTCTCTAGACTTGCTCTGATGGTCTTCATACTTTATGAACAATTGATTTAAAAATAATCTGAATTGGGGGCTGAAATGACCTAGATGTCGGAAGCCCCGGAAAAANCTTTCAGTTTTTCTCTTATTTTCAAGAAGCATTTTTTTCGTTTTGTTAATTATCGCGTTCAAAATAACGCGAGTGTCTCCTCCCGCATCCTTAATGCGACACATCATACAGGGTTCAGACGGAGCGCCTAAGGTAATTAATAGACTAGGATTCTGTTTTACCTTTGGCCAGAGTTATTGCAGGTTCTAGCTATTAAACGGCTCTCTTCCCTGGTTGTCGAGAAAATCAAGCCACAGTTAACAAGTTAGTATTTTATTTTATTTTGTATTTCATTTTATTTTGTATTTTTATTTTATTTAATTTTATTTTTATTGTGACCGACCAGCACGTGCACTTAAAATTTGATTAGTTTTCAGAAAAAAAATTTAATCGTGGCCCGGAAGGACAAAATTTTATGTGCACGCGCTGGCCGGTCGCAATAAAAATAAAATTAAAGAAAATAAAAATACAAAATAAAATGAAATACAAAATATTGATTTTGAAATAATTAATTAAAAAAATTAATAATAATTAATTACAGTTTTTAGTTGAGATGAAAAGAGTCAATGGCACGAGCGGGATTCGAACCCACGATCTTCGGCTAGATACGCCGCTGCTCTACCACTTGAGCTATCGTGACTTCGATCCACTTGGACACTAACTTCCTACCTCAACCCCACCTTTAAATTTTCCTTCCTTTTTGCTATTTTTCAAATGTGTAATCTATTTGATTCTCGGCGACAAATGAAATGGCCACGGAGACTTTAGTGAAGATATACTTCATTTAACTTATTAAATTCACTACTTTTCGTGGTCCGCTTCACCAATTTCTTAATTTAATATCTTCCAATTAATTAATCTGTATTTAAGGTATTGGTTGAGATAAAAACATTTGTCGCCGAGAATCAATTAGATTACACAATTGAAAAATGGCAAAAAGAAGGGAAAACTCATAAGGTGGGGTTGAGATAGGAAGTTGATGTTCGAGTGGATCGAAGTCACGATAGCTCAAGTGGTAGAGCAGTGGCGTATCTAGCCGAAGATTGTGGGTTCGAATCCCACTCGTGCCATTGACTTTTTTCATCTCAACTAAAAACCTTAATTGTAAATAATCTGAATTATTGAACCATGAAAGACAGAGACAGGTTGAGAAGAACTCCAGGTCCAAGGCTATTATTTTAAAAGATAAACTAAACTCAAATAAATTTATATATATTTATTACATAACAAAATGCACAAACATTTTTATATATATAAATTTTTAAAATTATTAATTTAATTAGTGTAATATCTATGAAATAATGTAATTGAGGTAAGTGTGTTTCTACTGGCACCTATTTGGAGCAACCTAAACAAAGTATAAAAGATTACAATTCTGGCGCCAGTAATTATACAAGCAAATACTACAGTAAATATGCACCTTTTCCATAGTTATATCATTTCTTTACAAATGGAAGACTTTATCCGCAGAGCTTTTGAGGCAATGCAATAGTATATATAAATTACAATTTTATTAGTGTCATATATGTACATACATACTCACATGTTAGTATACAAATGTATGTATATAATTAAAAACAATACACATGTATTTTTACTATTATGTTTGTATGTGTGTATATATTTAATTTAAGTAAATATATACAAATAACAGACTATATGTTCTCTTATTAGAATATCCTCTCATAAGGCAATAAGATATCTATGTGGAGAGAGAAGGATAATTCGTAACAACTGTATATGTTTTTTTTCTTTTCTTCTTCGACTTCAGAAATATAGTATATCAGAGAGGAGAAACACAACTGACAAGTTTTCAAAAGTGAAAATTCCAATAGTAACAGTTAATTTTTGGGAATTTAAAGACAATTTTTTTCGTGTATAAATATTAAATAAAAAACGTTTAGCCTACATTATTGCTTAATTATTTGTACTTAAAAATTGGCTTAAGTGCTTCACCACCTGTTATACCATATATAAATTATAATAAATATTATATAATAACACATTATAAACAAGAATGTCACCGATTAATCCATCCAATATAGAGAAACCTGGTGAATTTAATTATAATAGTTATAGTTTTTGACCATTAGAGTCTACTAAGCCTTTTATTTTACATCATTATACTAATAGTTGTAGAAATAAATTATAATTTAATAGCAATAGCATTAGTTTAATTCTCAGTACATTATCTTACATCTTTACAATACGAATAATTTTTTTTTAAATTTTTAAATTTTTTTTTTTTAAATAACAACGAACAAAATTCAAGATACATGTATGGACATTATATTATGTACAAGGAGGAATATTTTGTGAGTGTGTGTCTGTGCACAATTATATTCGAAAACGGAAATATTAAATAGGCGTTAAAAGAAGAGAAAAGGTTCCATTACGAGGATAATTACATCATTAAATATATAAATTGGGTAGTCAAGCGAAAAAACAGATTCCACCTCGAGAATCTGTTTTTCACACACCTTTCCTAATATTTAATTAGAAAAATTATAATTTTAAAGCAAATCATTAAATTTCATAAATTGCCTACAAAGAATTTTTATTATATCATTTGTAAACAAATAGTGTTCAAAAGACATTTACAATTGTTAAATATTATATATGGATATATAAGTTTTGAAATATTAGGCCTTTCGGTTAGAAATATATATCATTTTTTTATAAATTGATCGAAATATTTTATAAATATTCAAAAGCTATTATTGAATATATATTCAAAATTCGAAAACGAGTTCAAGCTAAATAAACAAAACAGAGAGATAGAGAGATGAATATATTTTTATTACTTGTACTCTTATTAATTATAAAAATACAAATTACGTATAAATTTAGGTGGTAACTCTGATTTATGTGCACATGACACACATTCATGGTTTGGTTTTGTTTCTTAATTACTTACACAATAATCATCTAAAATATTGAAACAAAAAATACAAAGTTATTGTCAATTAGTTATTTGTCAGCAACAATTTTACACTAAATAAATAACATTATAGATGTATAAATTATTAAATATCTAATGAAATTATTTACAGTGTTTTTCAAAATTTTTTTTAAAGGTAATCGAATAATATTCTAAAAATTCTGTTAAACTAAGAATTTTTACTATTTAAAGGTAACAAACATTAACAAAATAACTTTGCATAAATTTATTCTTACATACAAGTAGTTTTCAATAATGAGATTCTATGAGTTTATCTCAGCAATTAGAATCACAAAGTCCTTGTTTCTTTGTAAGTGAAACATTTGTCATATTCACTTATTTTACGTTTTACCACAATTTCATTATAAAAACAAGTATCTCCCATCTTTTTGTCACATTAAAAATGTGCCAGGATATGCGAGATAGCCAAAGTTTGTTTTTTCTCCCTAAAAAACGTTTCTCTTCATATTCAATAACCACGTAGAAAATAGAGACATACCCTTTTTACTTACTTTGGTTTTTCCTTTGGTAAATATTCTTCGATTACTTCAGGTTGACATTATTTTAAATTAAAAAAAATTCCCCACAAATGTTTTATCATACACAACCATTATATCGGCAATTATTTACATTAAATATAATTTTATGAATTTTAAAACTTTTTATAAACAATTGAAACCTATCAAATTGTAAAATTTCCCTTATATGATATGAATAAATTGAAACACACTTGAGTTATATGCTGAAATGCAAACTAATGATATATCAAGAGCAAATGATTTATCGGCATAGAAATATAGCAATTATCCCTGATATTTATATGAATGTATTGAATACGTTTAACAATAACTGATATGTTTCCAGTTGCTTTAAAATAATGCATTTCAACGATCCAAACAATTTGTATGATTCCAACGGAAAAATTCCATAACTATAAACATTTCTTTTTAATAAATCATCATTGTCACAAAAGCATTTTCATTCCTATAATACTAGCAACGTTTTAACAATAATTAGTCGTTAGTTAAATTTCCATCTAAAATCACGTGTATTGAGTCAAAGTGATTACCGAGATGAGGACGAGGACCAACGAAGACTTTGTCATTTCTCCTCTTCCACACTGTTTAATCTCTATTTCCTGTAGACAAAATATTATAACATTACATGTAGGCATGATGATGTAAAATCTGGCAATTTAAAAATAATAAATAAACAAAGTAAAATAAAAACAATTTGGCAAAAGGGAGCCAAAGTGTCCAGCTTGCTGAAAGAGATTACTCGATATGTCCTATTTGGTTAGCGGATTGACAGCAGTTGAGCAGAGACAGAAGAATCAATTCCAGGGAGAAGAGGATATCGCAGAACATATTTTATGTTTTTCTGAGTGTCTGTGAAGGTGTAGGTTCTTGAAACTAGGAGAGGAAAAGCCAAGCAAGATCCTACACTGAAGAGCCAGTGGCAAGGCTATGGAGGTCGATGAACAACCTGAAGCTAGCAAATAATTTGTGAAATTAGATGAGCCCAATAATCTACTTAGATCAAGGTGCAGAAGGCTTTGTGGCCACCTCTTTTATCTGTATCCTTCTCCAAATTTGGTTGAAGAATGACATTCCTTGGCTCTATATAGAGAATATGTAGGAACGCCTTCTTTGTAAATTATATATGAGTACCAAAATTACCAAAAATACCCAAGAAGATTCATCAGACCTCAAGACGAAATCTCCAAATATTTTCTTTAATAATAATTCGAATTACTGAAAGAGGAAAAATGGTGACAGACTGGGAAAACAGGATATTATCCAAATTCAGATTTTGGTTGAAAAAAATTAATAACGTGATTGCGGTTTGGTCATTTTTTTGCTTGTTATTAAAAACAAAGCACTGACGTTTTCAGTGGACAATTGTGGTACAAAATGGTCATTTTTGTTAGGTTATTTGTAAGAACCTATAAATAGGAAAAAGGTCATTTTTTGTTTGTTATTAAAAAAAAGCACTGACGTTTTTGGTAGACAATTGTGGTAGCAAATGGTCATTTTTGTTAGGTTATTTGTGAGAACCTATAAATAGGAAAAAGGTAATTTTGTTTGTTATTTAAAAAAATGCACTGACGTTTTTAGTGGACAATTGTAGTAGCAAATCGTCATTTTTGTTAGGTTATTTGTGAGAACCTATAAATAGGAAAAAGGTAATTTTGTTTGTTATTTAAAAAAATGCACTGACGTTTTTAGTGGACAATTGTAGTAGCAAATCGTCATTTTTGTTAGGTTATTTGTGAGAACCTATAAATAGGAAAAAGGTCATTTTTTGTTTGTTATTAAAAAAAAGTACTGACTTTTTGGTGGACAATTGTAGTAGCAAATGGTCATTTTTGTTAGGTTATTTGCGAGAACCTATAAATAGGAAAAAGGTCATTTTTTGTTTGTTATTAAAAAAAAAAGGTACTGACTTTTTGGTGGACAATTGTAGTAGCAAATGGTCATTTTGGTCTGTCTATCCTTTCTGCGTCTTGATATCTTGTCTGACGGCGAAGGCAGGAAGATCAAAATGATTAAAAATGTCCCAGGAGGTTCATCAGACTTTTTGCAATTATTTATTTAATAATAATAATTATTATTGAATGATGAAAAATTGATAGGTTGAGAAAACGCAGAATATTACCCAAATTTAGAATTTGGTTAAATAAATGAAAAAATGATTGGAATTTGGTCGTTTTGGTCTGACTATTTTGGCCTTAGGAGAACCAATCAAGACTTTGCTATTTCTCCTCTTCCTTAATAGTTTAATTTCCTGTAGACAAAATATTGTATAATTAAATATAGGGAACATATGATGATAGTTACATACGGTTTGGCCAAAAACATAACAAAGGAAGGAAGAGGAAATTCTAAAAATTATTTGATGAATTGCCTTAATATCATCGGTGCTATTAAAACAACCCTCACAGTCACAAAGAAATGTATACTCAAGTTGCAACCCCTGCCTATCCATGTGAAAAGTATGCATTGTTAGGAGAACTGAGAATTCATTGGACAGTGGGAAAAAAAACTAACAAGTGCTAGCCTTACCAAAATCTTCAACAAAGTTAAAATAACAGACATGGCTATAAGCATCTTGGATCTATCAGAGAAAATACTAGACTTTGATAAACAATTCAAGATAAGTTGGTTGGAATAATAAAGGAAAAGGAGGCCAACCTGGAGCTGTTCTATGATATGTGGATACCAAGCCTACGAGATCACCTCAAAAATTGTCTGAAATTCCCTTAAAAAACTGGGATCTACAAAGCGCCTAATGCTAAAGTGGTCCTGGTTCATGAGGGAAATGCAGACAACGAGGCAGCAGATACACTTGCTAAAAAAGGAACCTAAGAACAACTAATAGGCCCAAATCCATTTTTCGGCATAAAGCATACCCGCATGAAAAGGAACTGGAATCTTGGGTATCTAAAGAACACAATAAATACTGAGAATGAAAACCAGCCATGAGGTCTAATTTTGGAAGGCTGGAAGGAAAAGGTGGCAGTCTAAATCAGTAGTGCAAATGTTGGACTAGTCTAACTCCAGTGTTTCTTATTTGCCCAGGATTAAAAATTGTGAATAAATGTTTTAATTTTCAACAGTATTCTTTTCAGGCTTACTTCTGGATGGTAGTTGATGCATTTTGGGGGCCGCCTTCTGTAGTAACCTTGTTCGCTGGGCCTGCAAGTGTGTGCCCCTCCATCTTCTGTGTTGATCTCTTGCGCGCTAATGCTAAGTTGTTTGCTGCCACATGGGCAAAGGGTGTCGACAACGAGCAGTATCAGATTGCTGTGAGGTATTTTTTGAACACTGAACGGCCTGAAACAGAATTGATTTTAGCTTCCAGGCCCAAGTCAGTCCTGTATTTATTAATACCTTTCGCATCCCGTAATGTGACAGTTGGTCAATTTCCCCTTGAGCGGGTTAAAAAGCCCGCTGTTGTTTAATCTACCAGGCTGGAGAACGTATAAGTCGACTTTTTTGGTGCAAGGCCTGGCGCTGGTCGTCCTGTTCACAGGCTGCCTTGGAGCTGTCACTGGTGGGACTGGCAATTGTTGGGGTGCCTGAGGCTGCTCGTCAAAGTCCAAAGTCTCTTTTTCCAATGGTTTGGTGGTCGGTATAATAGGAGGGCTCTCTTCTTCTAGACCATCGTAGTTGTTGCCTTCATAATCGGAATATATAGGAACTGAAATTTAAACAAAATTCTTCCATAGTATCCACGGATTTTATTTGTTCTTCCCATTCTTTACTTCATTAAGTGTGATATGATTTTTCTTACTGTTACTTAGTACTATTGCTTTGAGTGGACAATTGTGGATGCAAACGGTCGTTTTTGGTTTGAGATTTTTAAAAATACGTACAGATCTTTTGAGGGAATAATTTTAGTAAGAAAGGTCATTTTTTGTTTGTGTAAAAAAATAAGTATTGCTGTTTTGACAGGATGATTGTGGTAGCAAAAGCCATTTTTTGTGGGTTATTTGTCCGAATCTATCAATTGAAAAAAGGTCATTTCTTGATAAGTACTGATGTTTTGAATGGACAATTCTGGTAGCAAGAGGTCATTTTTGTTAGTTTATTTGTGAGAACCTATAAATAGGAAAAAGCTCATTTTTTGTTTGTTATTTAAAAAAAAGCACTGATGTTTTTAGTGGACAATTGTAGTAGCAAATGGTCATTTTTTTGTTTGTTATTAAAAACAAAGCACTGACGTTTTCAGTGGACAATTGTGGTACAAAATGGTCATTTTTGTTAGGTTATTTGTGAGAACCTATAAATAGGAAAAAGGTAATTTTTGTTTGTTATTTAAAAAAAAGCACTGACGTTTTTGGTGGACAATTGTAGTAGCAAATGGTCATTTTTTGTTTGTTATTAAAAACAACGCAACGATGTTTTTAGTGGACAATTGTGGTAGCAAATGGTCATTTTTGTTAGGTTATTTGTGAGAACCTATAAATAGGAAAAAGATCATTTGTTGTTTGTTATTTAAAAAAAAAGCACTGACGTTTTTAGTGGACAATTGTAGTAGCAAATGATCATTTTTTGTTTGTTATTAAAAACAAAGCACTGACGTTTTCAGTGGACAATTGTGGTAGCAAATGGTCATTTTTGTTAGGTTATTTGTGAGAACCTATAAATAGGAAAAAGGTCATTTTTTGTTTGCTATTTAAAAAAAAAAGCACTGACGTTTTTAGTGGACAATTGTAGTAGTAAATGGTCATTTTTTTGTTTGTGATTTTTAAAAACAGAGTAGGTTTGAGTGGACTATTGTGGTAGCATACAAATTTACTCCGCCTTGTATCAATGTGGGATATTAGACAAAATGTAATGACAAACTAACCATTTACATCATTTATATTTCTTTACTCAAAACTTGGTAAGCAATATTTCCCAAAATTTAACAAAGGGATTAATATTATGCCTGGGCAATAGTCCCAAGTTGGCATTAATTTCTCTCCAGCAATTCAAATTGTTTTAAATTTATTTGTTCAATGTTAAAATTATGTTATTAAAACTATCTGCAAAAAGACAACCAAAAGCAGAACTTTCCTACCATCAGCTTCTTCTTGTGCTGAAACTGCAATCGGCTGAAGCAGATAGTAAACTTGGCTTTGGGCTATGAGCCAAGTGAGTCGAGTGAAAAACCAACGGATGATCCAATGCAGTGGTTCCCAGGGCATCTGAAACGACCAATTTCAATTTATTCAAATACCAAAAATGCCAATCAGGATGGTTCTTACGGCTCCCTTTGATGCATCGCTGTAGTGTGACTTGGAATCCGAGCACGCGCCTTGGTAGTCCATGACAGGCACTTTTTTGTAAATACCGTCTTGGACGAGTGAGTCCATTATCGTACCATCTGCCTGTCCAAAGAACATGCCTGTATGCTCATTCTTCTCAGAGAGTATTATAAAACCGTTATTGTCCAGGACATAGCAGTCCAGCTCTTCAGAGGCACAGGTTTTTTTGCAGCCATTACCAGTACACTGAAGAAACATGTAATAATATAAAAAAATGATCATTTCTGTCTAGGAGTTTATAGTTTTTTTATTTTGAATTTTTTTAAATTACCGCTGATGTAACATTTCTGAAGTGAGAGGACAAGGTCGAGTGTTGAAACTGTAAACCGACGACTGCAGCTGGCGCTTTATGCCCTTTATGTTCCAAAAATATTGCGTGGGTCGCTGTTACCAGTGTTTTTTCATTTGAGCCTGAAAGACAAGGTTTCTCAATAAGAGAACAAACCAAAAGAGAGTTTGGGGTTTAGAATTAAAATCGAAAATAGTCGTAAATGTGGCTACCTGCATCGAAAGGAACAGAGAAGACAAAACTCTCCGGTTCGATTGTGTGCTGATCTACCGCCCTTTTAAACCAAACTTCGTCCAATGTCAATCTGTTTTCAGCAGCGAAAGACCTAAAAAATACAAGGTGTTATCCCAAAACAGCGAGCTCGGAGGAAATCACTTCTGCTCGCACGGCAGGACCAGGGGATATTTTAAAATCTGAAAAATATTCTTGTTTTCAGACATTGGACAGTAGACACACCGGATATCGATCGTTTAAAACCATCTGGAACCAAAATGAAAACAAAGTAGAAAGGTTTGTTGTGCAATAGAAATCGCCATATGGAATCCTATGTACATTTATTTAATGAAAATAACCCACTGAAATTCAGTAAAAATTTACAAAAACAAACCCATGTAAAAATGAAAAAAAATTATTCTGGAACTTAAATTCTTAATTCCCTTTGAATAATTAAATATGAAAAACATATTCATAGAATTTGTAGCCTTATAAGGCTGTACAAAAATGTACATTTACAACATAATGTTTGACCGAATGACCTTCCTAAGCTTTAATTTTCTATATTTCTGTAGATGATTGTCATTAATACTTGTCTGAGGAATGTTTGCTGAAATGGAATGAGTGTTTTGCTGCTGCTTCCTGTTTATAACCCTGCTCCATCTTGTGTTCTATTCCTGTGAACAGGACTTGTTTCGGACACCCCTTAGAAAACTACCCAACCCCAGAAAGCATTTCTGGAAACTAGTGGAAAATAATGGAATCTGTTTTAAGGAGTGAAATTCGTTTTAAATAGAGAGAGAAACAGAGAAAGAAAAATAAAGAAAATAAATGTAGAGCCAAAACCATGCTTTGTTCAAAAATCTGCACAACCTGTCCATTATGTGGGTTTGAATACATTCATGTGCCTTGTTAAGAAGAAATTTGTATTTTGAAATTTTCTTCTTTCATCGAGAGACAAAATAAAACTGACGTAAAAACACTGAATCATGTTTTTATTCATATGACCCAAACAGCGAGTGTAGTCAACAACGGTGTACAAAATGTCCAGGAAGGTTCATCAGACCTCAAGAAGGAATGCCCCAATTATTTATTTGATAAATAATCCAAATTATTGAACAGTGAAAATGGTGACAGGTTGAGAAAACAGGATATTATCCCAATTCAGATTTTGGTAAAAAAAATTAAAAAATGATTGTAATTTGATCATTTTGGTCTGCTTAGCTTTGCTCCGACACAGTCTTCATACATTACTGAATTATTGATTTAAAAATAATCCAAATTATTTAACCATGAAAGATTGTGACAAGTTGAGAAAACACAGGTTATTAACCAAATTCAGATTTGGGTAAAAATATCTGGTTATAATCTATCCGAGCACGTTGCTTGAAGAAATTTATTCTTTAGCATTTTCTCCCTTATTTGAAAGCCAAACTAAACTCAAAGAAAAACACTGAATCATGTTTTGGTTCAAAAATAACTCTGCGCGCATGCGCACTCCTTACACAGACAGCACATGTATACTTTTCAGTGACGCTTTTTCTTCCATACAAAATGAAGGGAATGATTTTTCATATCCATTTTAAAATCTTTTCTACTTTCAAATAAAATTGATTGTACACACAGTGACTTTTTTGTTTAATATTTAATGATTAAATTACGATATATTAAATGATGTCATATTCGCCTGGCATAATATCAATAAAACCTCAACACATTCAACCCTTCCCCTCTCATTTAGTGCCTGATAAATAAAGGCTGTCGAAACAGACGCTGCAGTGTGTAGAATGACTATCAGAATTTAAATTCACAAAGGCATGGCAGGAAAAAAAAAAACAACTTAAAATCCTAACAAATTAGTTGACTTACTCTTTTTATATTCTTAGTAACATTTATTATTATGAGATCCTGTGAAAGTTTTTGTTTTTTAATCCAAAATAATTTCATTTCTAAATAATGCCACTTACTGTTCATCCTGAGCGTTCAGAGCGTGTTCCTGCCACCTAATCAAACCGCTCCTTGTTGCTATAAAAGAGAGTGTTTCTCCGAACATCTGATATCCTTGCCTGAAACCAATAAAATACTTCAATTATTTTCATTTCAATACTGGTCCACTGAGGGGTTCATCAAATACTCGTTTGGACACCCTCGTCGTACAATTATGAAACAAAGGCAGTCTTAAAATTAATAGACAACATAATTATAAAAACATAATTTTTATCTTAACCAATAGTATGTAGTACTTGATCAAAGGCCTTAAAGTAACCATTGGTATTTGATCAGCAGTACTTGATACAAATTATGCAACAATTCTATGTAACAATACTGACATTTGTTAAAAAGATATAAATTATTTTAATATAAAAACTATCGCGTTTCCTCCTCCTGGTTTGTTTTTTATCAAATATAGGCTTAATAAAGAGATAAACAATTGGCAAATTAAGCTAGTGAAGTAAAAGAAGACTTTTCTCAGGCCTTGGTAATTTCAGAAATTGAATTATCTACTGTAATGAATATGTACTGCCATTTGGAAATTATATAAAAGTTTAAATGTTTGTGTGAATCAGTCAAGCAAATAGAATTGGTACAAAAAATACATATATTGGGAAACTTCCAGAATAGTTATTTTATTCGCCAGAAGTAGTAAATAAGAAAGTGAAGGAAATGGGGTGTCAAAGAAGACGGCGTCGAAAGTTTTGCACGACGCAGAAGTCGTGTGGGTTTAGCGTAACGCCGCGCCGTCCTTTTAGACAGATCTAGTTTCAAAATACGAAAAAGGAATCGCATTGTGGGGTGTGATATTTTTTTAACCTGTACGACAGCTGTGTTATGAATAGGAATTTATGTTCTCGAGCTGCCCCTAATTAGCTTCGATTGTGTCTGTACGATAGAAACTTACTTGGGGAGGCTATGACGTGGAAGCACCGATTTTAATGAAACATTTGCCGATTTTTTAATAAGGGTTTTCTTCCTGTTTTGTGCATGTACTTCAAGTTTATTATATCAGTCTTTTTTTTCCACATAGGAAAGAAAATAATATGCAGGATCGTATTAAATGAGACTAGATATATAAAATGTTCCAAAAACCAAAACCAAAGTCTAGTAAAATAGGCCAAAAATTTTGTTTTTGAAAATTTAAACTATTTAAACCCCTTAAATACAAATTTTCATAGCAAACAGAAAATAGATTTTTTTGGCCTGGATCAGCAGGGGGCATTTTTTCTCCGGTGACCATTATTTCGGACTTTCAGTTTATGTACACAACGTTTAATTTTTAAAAATTGTAAGTAGAAAAATAAGGATGAAATCAACAGAAACTTCTCAAACGTTTTATTTCTTATCTCAGGTTTTAATTGATTAAAGGAAGCCGGATTTATTCTGCTTCTTGTAGTTTATAAGCATCTTAACCACTATAAAACTACCCATGGATCGGTGGTATAGTTTCAAAGTTATCACAATTTTAGAAAAAAATAGCAGGCTAGGAAAAAATTTCAGAAAAATGTTCCATTTTTTTTCTATTTTTCTAAAAATCGGTATACTGGGAATTCTTGGGGTGCCAAAAACGAATATCAACGTTCTTTTTTTTATTCAAAAATTTTACAATATAGTTTGCTGGGTCGCTCGTTACAAATCGTCTTGTTCTAGACCCTGGGAGATCCATGGATAACTGAGAAAAATTAATTTAGCCTGGTTATCGATTATTTACCGCTTGTAAAACAAATTAAATATAATAAATGACTATTTTTTTGTTGGATGGTATATTTAAATCAGACAATGGTTCTTTGCTAAGCAGCTCAATTAGGCATTTAAACATCAACGGTACCCATGGCTTGCTGCGAAATACAATATTGACCTGATGACTGGTGATTCCATATCTATTTGATGTAAGATGATTTAAATATCATAAATTAATTGGTGGGCGGTATATTTTAAACAGACAAATAGTTTTCCACTGAGAGATTGGTGTAATACGTTTACATACTGAATCAATTTTTTGTTAATTTTTTTAAAAAAAATCTATCGAGCCTTGACGTGAACGTCTCCAATTTGTCTTTGGAGGAGGAAACCTATGTTAAAAAAGTTTTATGATTTTTGACCTATTGTGGCAGATAAAGATTTGCTATTATTGTGATAGTATTATTGCTTTTTTTCATTTATCAAGGACATACAGTCAAACATTGGGAGAAGTGATATGCTTTAATTAGTTAAAATGATCAATAAAATTCTGGACTATTAAAGTTTTTAGTTGAGGTAAAAAAGCCAGTGTCACGAGCGGGATTCGAACCCACGACCTTCGGCTTTATACGCTGATACTCTACCATCTGATCTATGACTGAAGTCACGATAGCTCAGGTGGTAGAGTATCGGCGTATCAAGCCTAAAGTCGTGGGTTCGAATCCCGCTCGCGACACTGGCTTTTTTATCTCAACTAAAAATCTTAATTAATTGAATGATATTAATTGGTCAAGCGGACCACGAAAACTAGTGAATTCTGGACTATTTGGATCAAGTTTGGATCGACTGAAGGTATTGTTAAAGATAAAACATAAATGGTTACTTTCAGGCTGTGACAATTAATCAATTAACACTATTAAAAAAAATTAATTAAAATGATCAATTTTTGTTAAACATTTTAGTTTTAAGGACTCAATTCAAATTATTGTCAACAATTCAGCGCATCTTCTCCAGAGGGGACATTTTATATTTATTTTATTTTTGTTTTTAATATTGAACAATAAAGTATACAAATTCGGCTCGGGTTGGACAATACACGCTCAGAAGATCGGATTTTTAAACTCAGAAGGAAAGTTTTGCCAAGGAAAGTCGTGAAAAAGAAATATTTAATATAATTTAAGGTCTTTTCAATTGTTTGTAAATGTTCGCTTCGAAATTCCAGGCGAATGGTTTTGTTTCTAATATTGATCCATTCCAAAGTGATTATAGCCTGATATTACATCCTTGGGTTACTCTTTTATTTGATTATTAATTGGGGGAAAAGCTGCTACAAGCTCTCTATCTTTAAAATGATCTTATCTACGCTAAAAACAGTCTAACGAAACTTTATCCATTTCTTTAATTACATTTAGTCCGACGTTACCCTAAATCACGTCCACAAGAGTAGAAAAGCGTGAGTTGAAACTCTTGAAACGCTTGAAAAATTAAAAACAAACAAAAATTCGAGTTTCTAGACATCATCGAGAGTTTTTTTTTTCTAAATGATTAAATGTAGGAGCGATAACACAATTGATGGCTCACCTGGTGTTTCTGCTGAAAGGAAAGCTAGAAATATTTATAAGTGCTAAAGTGGCCTAAAAACTTACAGCAAAGGACGGTTTGTTGAATTCGCTAATAATGAAATAAAAATAAAAATATAAAAATGTTTTAATGTCATTTAGAAATGGGTACATGCTCAAGCAAAAATGTTTTTTTTTTTCGTAATTCCTATACTTGAAGGCGTAAAGAAATTGCAAAAAATTTGCCTTCTGAAAGAATAAACATTTGATGGAGTTATCCACCTCCTTTAAAAATGCGCTGACTTGCCAATCATTTGTACAAAACACTCAATTAATAATAAAAATAAAAGTGCGATTAAAGAACATGAATAGGAAGAATATTAGCATCCAGGCAGCGTGTATCTCCACCCTAAAAACGGTTAATACATAAAATGAGGAAAAAAAATCACCATTGCGTCAAACCTGCGTAAATCGTTCATGCGAATGCACACCGAGTGAAAGTTACCACTTAAAATACTGAAACTGTATTAAAGGGAGAAACGCAGGGTGCCATGGGGGATGTTATTTTTCCTGGCACCAATTTCCCAAGTCGGAGATACCTTGAAACTTTAAAAAATTAAAAACCACAATAAAACTTCATTAATAATAAACTAAGATCAAACTTATAAGGGTTCGGTAAAACCGAAGGCGTATCGAGTTATTAGTTGAAGTTTGGAAGGCCAGAAAGTTAGATATTCCCCCCTCGACTTCGGAGTTGTTTCTTTTTATCAATTGCACCAATAACACCAATATTCTCTCAGCAACTTCGTAATCACTTGGGTCAACTTTAGACGTCATGTTTAAAAATTAAAAAAAAAAAAAAGTTGTGTCGTGTACGGATTTTTAATTTTTTAATGTCCCCTATAGAAATCGTATCATGTTTGTCTTGTACCAGCAGTCGCACTTCTTCAATTGGTATTCGTACGAAGTTCATAAATGGATCTGTGGGATTAAAATAAATAATTTTTTTAATCCAAAACAATACTGGCAAAATAATAAAGCGACAGAAAAGAGTCTGTATAGGTTCAGTCAAGAAGGTATCTCAGAACAGCGCTCAAAGCGTTAGGTTTCACTTGACATAAATCGAGTACATGTGGGACTGTCTGAATGCCGTGAGAGATGTAGGTATAAAGGACAAACTGTTTTTGGTTTATGTCTCATGGCACACAGGACAGAAGGGTAACGAAGAGGCTGACAGACTAGCCAGCCGATCCTCAGCAGGACCACCAGAACTGTAAAATTCCCAAATACCTTAAATAAAGCGATCAAGTCAAAAGCTCATGTCTGGTGAAACAGGACATAGAGGCAACTTCGTTAATAAAGTCTCGTCAAAACCTAAATTACAAATCTGCAACATCAAGGCCGAACAAAAAACCCATGATCCGTCTTCTAACCTGACATTGCAGACTCAACAGATATATAAAAATACATATTAAGAGTGGCAAAAACAGCCTGTGTTATTATCGGAAGTACGTAAATAAAGCATATTCAATTCAATTCTAATGGTTGTTATACTTGTTTGAAATTAATGTTTACAATGTACAACTGTGAATTTCAGACAAAGAAAGCCATTTTGTAAAATTACCACGTTAAACTGTTTTTCTTTCCCCTTGTTTGTTTCGATGAAACCGTGCTTGTTTCAATTCCTGGAAACAGTTTGTCAAATATAAATAATAAATAATAAAGTTGTCAAAAGAAAAACGTGGAAAAATTGACAAATTATGAGTATAAAAGTCCTAAACATTCGCGTGATGTTCTGTTATGACCGGGCCATTAGGCAAATTAACTCGGAA